GGACACATGTGTATATGTATGTATGCATATATGAATACGGACATCAAGTGAAAATTCAGGGAAAAGGAAAAAATTCCATTGCATTGAAAGCCTTTTAAAAGGCGAATGCTGTCAAAGTTGCGCGAGCCACTTAATTAACTTGGCGCAGCAAAAAATCGCAAAAGGAAACGCCACAAATAGTTGCAATGAGCCTATACGCAGATGCTGAAGACCTTTTTTATTTTGGGCATACTTTTTTATCTGTGCTGGAATGCACCTTATGCACCTCCTTCTACTATTTTGGCTCTTTTGCGACGTTTTGATTTTTAATAGAACAGAAATAGCATATGATTTGGTAAACGACATAAATGAAAAACAAGCTTTACATTCAATTCTACCTGACTGGTTGTACCTGTGTTTTTGTGTGTAGTAATGTTTAGGTAGGTTTATGTTTGCGCAGCTCACAAGAATTCAGTTGTTAAATTGTTGGCGATTTCTGAACCTAATATTTGCACTCCGTTTATCTCTCTCTCTCTCTCTCTCTCCCTATCTATCTATCTATACTTCTTTTTCTATCTCTCTGCTGGGTGCGTTTTTTGTAGTCTATTTTGTGACGCTCAGGTGGCTGTGTGCACTGCCATTTTATGCTATACACACATAATCATTGCCCCCACACGTGCACATAGTTTTACTGAGCGGGTTTTAGCTCTATTCTTTATGCTTTTTCATTTTCACTTTTCCTTTCTTTATTTTTAGTGATTTGTCTGCGCCGTTTTTCATAGATGTCTTTCATTGTTTTTGGTTATTTTATGCCAGCACACACAACAAATAGACATTTAAGTATTTTTTCACTAAATTTATCTGACTGTTTGGGGCGTTCACACATTCGCATGGCCAGAGATAAGATTTATGACAAAGCACCTGCGGTGCTCCGTACCACAATGGGAGAGACCACGATGAACTGAACTGAAATGCACACAAAAATAAACTCAATTTTCATGTGCACATATTGCTTTTGTGGCATAGCATTATACGATTGACACGAATCATATCTTCGTCACTTAATCAGTGATATGCTAACGCTTTCTGCTTGGCAGTTATTAAGAATTATTTATGAGATAAATGATGTGCTTTTAAATAATTCCAAATTAAACAATACAATAAATACATAAAGGCTGCAGGCGGTTAAAACCAAAAATTTCAATTTATTTTGATTTATCGTAGCAATTGGAAAGAATCAATTTTGAGTAGGGATCAAATTTAGCCCATAACTCTTGTATGAAAATATCTACGGCATGGAACACTTTCAGTGGAAAGGGCAATTATAAAATAACAACTTATTGTTTAATTTCAATTTTTCAAATTCGTGTCAAATTGGGTTCTCAAATAGAGGAAAAATATCTTTTGCGCCAGGAGCCCTGTTTTCGAAAATAAAGTGCTCGTTTTAGTTAAAAAGAGCATCATACCTCGTTTACTGTTTAATACCGCATATGATATTGTTCATTCAAACTCTGTCAAAATTAACCCAACACATTTTAGATTCAGCTACGGGCTGCACATATTTTTGGCACTTTGGAGCTATTTTTATCAAGAGTCTTAATATCAAAGAAACGTATTTTTCGCAGCCATGAACATTTCATTTAAATTTTTTTCTCCTCTTTACTTATGATGAGCTTCATCAAGCGTGGGGGCCTTTAATTTAATGTCTTACCGAATTCAAATTAAGCTTTTTGCAAATTCTCATTTATTTTGGTAAGAGTGCAGGCTGCGTCCATTTATCACCTTTTCGGTTGGCCCCATTTGCAGTTTCTTTAGGTTTATATTGCAATTTGCAGAAAATAGCAACAGTGGGCGACAACAAAACTAAAATACAATAAGAGAATGCAAGTAGTATATGAAAATTTATTTGCAATGCGATTCGCAAATTTATTCAACTTTTCGCATATTTCACTACAATAAACTTGAGCAATTTCAACTTCTTTGGAAATGTTTGCGATGTGCTGCTTTCTTTACTAAATTTATAACGAAAAGTTTTACATTTTGCAAATCATTTTTAACACCTGCGGCAGGTTAAAGTTCAGCCAGCGAAAAAACTTTGTGAATTAGAAGCCAAGGCAACATTTTGATATTTATTTCACGCTCAGCGGACATTCCATTTAAAATGAGTTAAGCCGTTAATGGCACAATAATGGGGAAAACAAAATGCCAAAAGCACAGATTCAGCAAGCGTTAAGTCTGATGTCAGCCATAGATACACGTGAGTTAACAAAACACAGCAAATGCGTTCAGGAAAACATAATGCGACCACGACCGCACACACCCGATCACAGTTCAGAGAGCAACACATGTCTAACTTAGCCCAGATGTGGTCCAGCACAAGATGCTGACCACAAATGACAAGATTTATGGCCAAGTAATCGACACTGCCAGGCCATAAATCTGAGCATCGGTTCGAATGTCAAAAGAGCCCGTCTAAAAGGTGCACGTAAAAGTCAACCAGCAGTAACAAAACGCATATTAAAGTCGTATTTGAATCGAGCTCTAGCTTTGATTAAAAAAAGGCAAAGTATCTAACTGAAAGTAAGCATTTATATAACTAGCTTTATTATATAACCAGCTGTCATATATTTAGATATAGATAGTAAAGCTTAAAACTAAAAAAAAAGTAAATCTTAAATCTAAAAAGGTTGTCACTGCACGTTCTTTTCACATATGTAGCATAGTTGAACACATTTGGAATGTCATCAGCAAAGTTAAAATGCCCTATTGAGAAGATAAAAATATAACATATAAAAAAAAATTAAATCAAGCTTATTAGAAACTTTATGCTAAACTGTTCAAATAAAAACACGAATATTAACGAAAATTTGCAAACTAAAAAAACCATGAAACAGAAAGTTTTATGCAAAAATATTGCGGAATAAGCTCTGTAAGCTCTGGAAAATCTCAAGCTGAGTTGCAAACAATTTACTAAAACAAAAAGGACGAGAAAAATTCGGCAAAATTACTGAAATGAGATGAAAAGTTGCATCAAACTCATTTGGTCAGTTTTTAATGGATTGTTCAATGTGCACTTTTCACGCTTTTTAATTAAATGTGTTAAGAGAAAAGTTTGCACTCAGTTTAGTCAAAAGCCGCCTACTGACACGCCCTACACAAACTACTTTTCAAAGACAATTTTTGACAGTTTAAAGAGTTTCACGCCAGCTTGGCATATTTTATAAATATGCGGCCGAAAAGAATGTTGCAGGAAAAACGAAAAAGTTAGGGGCATTCTCCTAGTCTATTTAATGGGTACCACTGATAAGTTTTCAAAGAACTTCCACACACATATGTTAGACAGCTGAGGCGTACAGAGACCCTAAAAGTAGGAAGAGGTAATCAGCTTAGCCACATCAGGTTGCTTTCAAATTAATTACAATTTGACTATGGGCGACCCAAATTCATTCTAGGACATTATCATCGACATGTGAAATATTTGAAATCCGAGTTGTAATTACCTCTTGGCACCCGCAAACATATAATTTACTCAATGATAACGGGAGGGGCATCCTTCAGGCTTGATTCTGGTTGCGAATTGTGTTTTGTTTTGTTAATAGCTTCCGGTGTGTGCGAAAATGTGTTTCTAGGCCGTTAACGGCAAGTGTAATTGCCAGAAATGTGCCCGACACTTGTGAAATTTGAAACTTTTCAATTAATTTGCACGACTGAAAGCTAGTCGTTCAACACTTGCTTTTGGGCCAATTCCACTCCAAGAAATTTTAACAAACAACATTTTTGAATATATCTGCCACATGGTGATACATTTTAAATTTACACATCATTTGCACCTGCATTGTATCTAAACAGAAACAAAATTGGTTCAAGGACAAAATATAAATTTTAGCTGGATTTTCGGGACTTTAAAAAGCTTTCAATTGTAGACGCGTACACGACTTCCACTCTGACCAAGTTATTTTGGCTTCACTAGCTAGTTGCCAAGTTCTGGCAATGACACTTTATTTTTACGGTCATAATTAAGCATTAGCCAGAAATATGTCACAAAAACGAAATAAAACCGCGTTACAAATTAATTGGCAAAAAACTTACAGTACTCGTTGCGGCTAAAACGTGGTCGCTGGCCAATGCCTGTGACCTCAAGCATTTCACAACTCCAACAAGCCGGCACCCATTCCCAATCTGCATAATGAATGTGTATATGTATGTATACGATATTAACCTAATGATTAAGAGGTTGCTTACGGTATGCGGTGTGAGTTAATGAAATACTGGTCAAAATTACTTGAAGGCAACCATTTTGCCTTTGCAAATATACAAATATGTTGCACTTGTACACCTTTGTAGACGTAGGTAATATAATTTTATCAAGAAATGTCCTACCCCTCAATGTATATGTATTCTCGAACGGATATAGCCCACCAAATATCTCCTCCAAACTCAACAATCACAAGGGTATTTAAACTTCGGAGTTCCGTTCTCTTTGTTGTTCTTGTTTTTGTCTGGCATTGCCCCAAATAATGAATACGATCAATATTTGACATCACAAAACGCAGACTCTATATAAACAGATATACATATATGTATATATATATTCATGTATGTGTGTAAATATATTTTTCCCTCGACGATATTGACCAAATCATATTTTTCGTCATTCAGTAATTGCATATTTAAGGCTACTGCTGAGAATAAGAATAATAATGATGATGATGATGGTTTTGAAGGCATTGCTGATACTGGCTCGGACGGCATATTACAATTATTTGTCCCTCTCCAGCTGTGCGCCTTTTGATGTCGTCCCCAGATCATCTACGGAATGAATGCCAAATATAAGTATCTAATTAAAAGCATATCCAGCCAAGCTTTATCTATTTAATTTATGTAGCATTAATTTTTTGCCAAAATTACCACATAAATAAACAAATATTTACTAAGGTTGTGTTTACCCCGTTAAAAACACAGTAGTCTATGTTAATAGAATCTCACATGTATAAGGTACAAAAATAAAATGTCAGTTGTTTTTCAGCTTAGTATAAGAGAATTAGTAGTAGTAGTAGTTTTATAGATAAACATTTTGCTTAATTTAAATTTATAGTAAAAGTTTGGTGAAAATTACTAGCACGATAAAATGGATATTGAACAAACGACTCCAGAAGTCAGCACGGCTCATACAGTAGATCTGAACAATGACCGCTTGGACTGCGAGCATCTTGGTAAGATCCGAAATATTTGTGAATAATTGATACATATTTCAACAAAAATTCGAACAGACGAGCTAACCGAAAGGTGGGTGGATCCAAATAGACCCTCCTTTATTACGGTGCTGTTGCGCTTCTTCGGCAACATCTTTGGTAAGCAGCACATCGTTGTATGTGGCTGTTATTAATTAACTCGTTATTTGTTATTGCAGTGGATTGCTTCAGAGCCATATTTTCTTAAAAATCTAAGATATGTACCATAATTAAAATTTTGGAAAATAAATATACAATTTCTTTAGTATTGGAATAGTTTATTTGTGGCCTTGTAATTTCACCAGAATCAATGACAATAAACAACGTCGTGTACGGGCATTTTGCAATGGCAATTGCCAAGATCCATCATAATGTCAAAGGCTTCATCAAGAAAATTTTCTAGATTTTCGGGATTTCGAAAGATATCCTTCTCCATTTTTGTGCCGTCCCATATGCTCCACCGTCGCATGCTGGCAATGACATCACCACAAAAATCTCGCTTAGATTTGTCTTTTTGTTCAAGTATCTTTCTTGAATGCGTGTGTCGCTTTCCTGCAATCGAGTTAAAAAATTAAAATCATCTGCACAATTTTCGATAGATCGGCTTGCAATATTTTCAACAGAACATGGCAATGTTAAAAGAAAAATTATATGGCTGAATTGTTTCATTAAAATTGTGAAAATATATGACAAGCCGAGGCTTTGGATTTAAATGTTTGGATTCGAACAAATGAACACTTACTTTCAGACAGCTTAGAACGCGCCATTTTAGAGGTAGCTTCTCGCTGCGATTTTTCATAAGTCTCTATGATTTTATACATTCGCCTGTCCATATCCTTTGTAGTGCCAAGAATATCTTCGCAATGAGGCTTACAATTGCCCTTGTAATTGGGTCCCGAAAAGGGCACTTCCGTATAATGTTTGGCATTTTTAAAATTCGCTCGTTGCCTCTCCAGTATGGCCTTTCGATTTATGATGGCGGCGTGCGCGCGTGCGTTATGGAAGCGATAGTTCATGCTAATCATCAGCTTCTCCACCCGAGACAAACAACTGCAAGATCGATCGCATTCGATGTTAATGCTATACGCGAGTGCGAACTTAGCTAGTTACTTACTGTGAGTTGCGTAGCGAGTATACGCCCGGTATGGAATAGGTGCGTAACAGATAATGGAGCTTGAAGGCCACGCAAGTCAGTAGATCCTCAGCAGCGGTGAGCTGCATTTTTTTCAGCCCGGTCATATCGTGCACCGTATGACGCTGCCACCAACCACGGAAAAGCGCTTGTATCTTCGTTGCCGCCTTATTGTAATGTTGAATCAATACATTTTGTAACTTCTCTTCTACAAACCTCATGTAGTTCCTGCGCACATAAAAGCCACGCCACCAACGCTGTATTACAATGGCTGCCCAATGGTTTTTCTCAGCTGAACGACGAACGTGATATCCACGCCAGTTCTTTTGTATAGTGCGAGAGGCCAAGAATTGTATGTAATCCATGATAAGCAATGGGGTTCTGTGAGTGAAATGTAGTTAGTTATCATGGTGCTGTGAAGAATTTTAACAGTCGGAAAGAAGCATTTCTACGCATCGGGACGACAATCTAGCCGTGTCAAGTTCAAAACTACAAAGGTAAGAGACTTGATGAAAAGAAAATCGGTTTGTTAGGCACAACTTGAAAATTACAAGAGCCTTGCGTGCATGTCCTACTTAAGACAATTTGTTAAGGATCGGACATTTGTTGAGGATCGGACATTAAGCAACGAAGTTATGCAAGACTGTAATTACATTAAGGCCAGACACTTACCGCGACAGCATAGAATTCGCGAGCTGATTATTACTTTCATTCTCATCTTCTTCATCGTAACTACTGCTGAGTATTTTAAGTAGTATTTTAGGTAGATTTGCTGTACAGTTGAATACTTACGGCAACAAAGAATTGGTTGTGTGCGTGCAGCGTCGATTAATCTGATTGACCTGATCGCGAAAAAAAGTCATTTTTGTAACTTAGAATGCACTTGTATGTGTTGTCTGGTTTTAATTTTTTTATATTTTAATTTTTGTCGAACGTTCATATACGTCTGTGGTTTTTATGTTACTGATTTTTTTCAGCATTTTTCTTTCTTTGCTTTTATCAATTCAGGAGTCGAATAGTTTTCAGTATGCTTTGCAATGATAATCTGTGTATACCATTATATTTGCATAAATCTTTGCAGAAAAGCACCGTTTCCCCTGTCCTACTTGCTGTCTTTTAAAAGAAATTCTCGTATTTTATTAAGTTGCCCGTTGTATCAACATGTTGCGCGCTTATCGCCATCAGCTTCAAGGAGCATATTGCAAAATTTACGAGCTTATATATATTTGAAAACGTTGCGCCTGCGGGTATACCATAATAAATATTCTTTGCCAGCAGCCAGAGTTGCATTAAATTGAATAGTGTTTCTGCTGGTCCCAACACGCGACCAGTTGGCCGTTCCCAGTGCCAGCCTGGCAATCAATGGACCACATGCCTGCAGGCGCACAACTGAGATTTCCCATTTATGGTGCCCTTGACATAGTTGTACAGGCTCTAATTGTGCTAATGCTGACAAATGGCAACTGGCCCACTGCAGGTGGGATGGAGGTCAAGTTGTGCACGGTACTGAGCATTGCAGATGCAGTTGTGGGAGGATCATAAATTTTATAATATATTTTGTCAGGCCGAATGCCATTAGATGGATTCACGGTAAAGTGGCTGCTTTAAATGAAAATCAATACGTGTTTAACCTACATTGCCAGGCCGTTCCGGTTTATTTTTTTTGGGTCTTCCTGTTACGTTTTCAAAACTCTCAACCCACAATGCTCATTATGCGCCACAAATGAACCACACAATCTCACACACGCAAACAACGGAAATGAGTCGGAAATTCTCATTTATGGCGCCCTTGACGCCATTCGCTATTTCCACTATCCTATCTATTGCCGGGCTGCCTCCGACAGCCATCGCATGACTGCCTAGGCAGCTGACAAGTTGGCACTGGTTTCTGTTTCAGATTCTGTTCCCGATTCCGCATCTGATTGCTGCAGCCATGAGATTTATGTTCTCTCGTGATATTGACGATGATGAGGCGGCTGTGGCTGGTGCTTCTCCTCTTGTTGATTTTGCGGTCGCTGGTCAATCTCATTGTTAGCATTGTGACTAGGGATGGGAGCGGGCAAACAAGCTCGGGCCCCGAAATTCATTTTCGTACAGTCCCAGGCCTGACCTCAAAAGCACGAAAAGTAATGCACGCCAAACAGTGGCCAATATCTGAATATCACTGCAAATTTTACCCCTATCTAGAAGTGCCAAAGGAAATAATTGAAAGAACCGCCTCAAAACCCAATAAAAATAGTTCCCAATTATTAAATAATATGCCTCGACACAAAATTGTTCTGTTCTGTTGTCAACTAACAAAAATGTAGCACTTTTCTGGAGTTCGTGCCGGGCCAGGCTTTTAAAAAAAAATTTTGTAGTGCATGTTTCTTGCTCGTGCCGGACCGGGCCTCGAGAATGAAGCCCGTGCCCATCTCTTTCAATGACCTACTTAGTAACTGAAATTGCGAATATGGCCCAGAGCGCGAATACCTTGAATTCGCTAAGTAAACAAGATGAGAGATTTTCAGCGCTTTAAGTTACGTTTAAGAAAAAAAAACATTTTTCACACCAGAACAAAAGAAAAGGCAACCATCTCATGTCTCTTTAAAAAACAGTCTGTAAAGAGATATATGTCAAATTCCATCCAACCAATTTTCCATTTAGCCTTTCAACCGCAACGTGGCACCAAATTTATACAGAAAACAAGGCCTAGGGCAAGGTTATTCACCCACGTATAGAAAACTTTTGGGCCATACATTTGCATTAATAGCCACGTACATAAATGGTCTCGAGTCCCTGGTCCCAATGTGTTTGCGGTTTTGCCGTGACCATTGTGCCTTATATAATTTTCTGTAAATTAGTTTATACAGCTGACTGAGCGCAGTACATACCTACATAGTGTATACAAGTCGCTGTCGATGTCTGTGTGCGTCTGTCGCGTGTGGGTCATTGGCTTGAGCTTGAGAGACATGTTGTTTGATCCCTGAAGGCGTGAACTTTATTTAATTGGTTGATTTTTGTTTTAATTAAATTGAATTGAAATTCAATCATAGCTGCTGCATAAGGTCCAGACTTGAAGGCAGTAAGCCTCGTCAACGAATGACTTCGATTATATCCCCCATGTAACTTACAATGTTGTGTTGCCCAGTCGACTACTCTAAATTGTGTTGTGTAAATATTGCAACGTTTTGGGTTCACCTCACATTTTATGGCAGCCAGTCCAGGGGGTGACAGGAAAAGGGCCACAGCGAGGGCTTGGACGTTTTCACGGGCTGCGACCGTTCCTAAATCTAATTTGAAAAGTACTAACCCGCAACGTAGCAATGGCCATATATCAAAAGCGAGCTCTACACACACAACACCCACGCTCACTGAGTTTACCGTGCGAATTTACGAGCGACTCTCCCAAAAAATGTTGGCTATTAAATTTGTCTGGGCACATGGGTGACCATATTGTGGATAGCAGTCGGAAGCTGCATCTGAGCTTTTCAGGTGTGCTCGTATTTTGTTGTGTTCTTCAAGCCATGTGAACATTAACATCTAAAGTCAACTGGCGCGTGGGGTGGATAAATTAAAGCAACAGCCACTTGCTGCACCCGTCTTTAGAATTTGTCGCCGGCTGCGCTTTTTGATGAATGAACTCGTTACGGCTATTGTTGACAAAAAAAAGGTCATAGAGGCAGAAAGTTTAATTTGTAGGCAAATCCTGTGCCTAAAATCTATCAGTTTATTTACCGATTATCCGCCTAAATGCATCTTATAGATTTTAGCAGACAACCGTCTGCCAAGCTTTATTCACCGACCAATTTATCCAATTAGTATACAAAGTGTCGGCTCTTCTGAGAACTATAATACAATCACGTTTTCATTGGCTTTGTTGCCAGTAGATATTAAAAGAAATAATTCAATTTCGTTTACAAATAAACAAGTCAGCATAAACACAACAGACCCACGCGAATATAGACTCTCTTTATGCAATATTGGAACGTATCTGCACAATGGAATATCTTTTAATCGGCGAAAAAATCAGTATTAGTCGAACCGACGGCCGAGTGCATACCGCAGTAGTTGACTCCAAGCAGGATGAAGTGCAGTCAATTACAGTCGCATGGACCGAGGGTTCAAAAATGATGGGCAAGGAAATACCCTGGAGCTCAATAGTGGCTCTCAATCCACACCTAATGGAGCGCACTCAGGCTAATGACGAACTGCTAAAAGTTTCTGAAACACAAGTAAAGGAAGAAATGTTAAGTCTATCTGATCTGGAAAATATTGAAATAGATTTGAATTTGGAGGAAGGTTGATTTTTCCTATTGAGATTTAAGAAGTGTTATTAAAAAGACAAGGGCCAGTGCCTTTCTTTTTGCCCATTTATATTTTTCTACACTGCAACCTACTACTACCTTAGACACATCGCACATAATTACACAATATTTATTTTGGTATTCTTCTGCACAACTTAAATTTATATTAAGCAAAATTGAAATTTGATGCAACTCAGTTGATGATAAAAAAGTGGAAAATAATGCTTATACTTTCGAATTATTCCAGCTATGCTTTTTCACATTGTGGCGCTCTAGTTTCACTTCAAATCGCCCAGGTAAAATAAAAACTTTTTGCCCTTTATATTGGCCATTCTGAAGAAGTAAGCAACTTGCAGCGAGATTTTTTTCCCGCTCGGATACAAATTTATGAGCGACCAAAGTGTAATCAAGACCGAAACAATGGGGAGAAAAAAAAAAGAAAACGTGGTGGATTTGTTAACTTGGTTAACTGCTGAAATTTCCGCATCATGTGTAACAAGTAGACGAGGCAGCCAGAAAAGTTGTGAGAAAAACTTTGCTGCAATAAACGTAGTGGGGTGGCGAAAAAGTATTAAATGCCCTTAAGAATGCATTCAGATGAAATGTTAATAGTTGGACATTTTTCCTTTATGTACAAAAATCTTATTGCCAGAATTTCCAAGGCATACAAGCGATGTCAGGCGCATTATTTGCGAACGTCTTAGTTCTAAAGCTTGTCATATTGAGAACCGGAAAATATTCCCACATATCATCAAAAAGCTTCTGATAAAGTTTGTTGACCACACGATTTGAAGTGACCACAACGTTCTCGTAATTGCTGCCAGTGCCCAGTTTGGTCCAGTTTAGAGAACCTGTCATCACGTAACCCTTACGCCGCCAAAGGCGACTGTGAACGCGGTGCTCCCCTCCATCAAGTTGCAGAACGCGATCGTCTCCATCGATAATGCAGAATTTGTGATGCATCATCACATGCACCGGGGAACAGCGCGCCGGTATTTCGGCCGCTATCAGACGCTGCACCAGCGAGCCCCGGGCGTAGATCATCTGGGAGTCGGTCACCAAGCGTATATTAACGCCCCTTAGCCAGGCAGATGCGATGGCGTAGTAGAACGTGGTATGCGAGAACGTCAAGTGGGCAATGTCAATTGAGACCTTGGCCCTGTTTATGTACATAATGACTCTGTCCACACGACAGGTCTCGCAGTATTTCTTTGGGCAATTTGTTGAAACATGTTGAAATCGACACCTACGCGGGAGCTCGTTGAAGATGACGGCATCTGTTTCATCTGGCTCACCGTAGATCTGCAGCCATAACCGGTATAAACTGTAGTCAAATCCATAAATCAGCTCGACAATTGCCTTTCTACTTAATCGCCCATACTGGAGCTTCAGAAAGTTTATGAATTTGTTTATGATCCAAACACATCTGTAGTAAAAACACTTTAAAACAGCTCTGAAGGTTTTTATCTTATGCAAACTTACAAAACTAAAACCATTTTGAAAGCGGCAGCAAATGGTGAAAACTTTAATTGACGGCAAAAATCCTCAGAAATTATCGAAAGCTTGTGTCTATCGATACATTTACTATAAATGTAAATTATACTTATCTGTTCTGCAATTATTTGCATCGCTGAGATTTACTTGTAGGCCCATCAGACTCCCTTGGCATAATTAAATATTTTAATAGGGACCAATTTTTATATTAAAATTTATTACACTTTCTTATTTAATAATACACATCAGTTATTTTTAGTATAATAACGAATATCAGCAGTATTATTAGAAGCTGCACAACTTCAATTGCGTCGTGCAGTAGATCAGCGATTTTAATGTGGTCGACGATCTGCTCGGGCTCGCATCCCAGATATATGCTGGCATCGTTGCCATTGTATACAATGTGGCCTGAATGGCGCTGTATTTTGACCATATTTGAGTTGCCAGTGATTTCCAGAACTTCAGAATTCACGACTCGGGGACGCTCTTCAATATCAATCACATCCATTTTGGTATTAGCTCACGATTTCGTCCTTGCTTGTAAAATTGCTGAACTTCTAAATGAAATTGTTTTAACATCACACTTCGAAGCTCGATATATGGTCTAATGACAGGGCTGCATTTTGCAGAATGCCGGGCTACATGTCAAACTATTGGAACGATAGAATGAATCACAAAAAAAAGAGAGAACAGAAATTAAATTGATTTTGCAACTTTTGAAACGCATTAACAATCAATTTTCAGAGAATGCGCATAACTTGCAAGTGCTTACAAAATATTTAGCTAGCAGTGCACTTGCTCTGCGAAAACCTCATCAAACTTCCAAAGTGTCATCTTTGGTGATGATGATAATGATGATGATGATGATGGCTCTTAACCACAAGCTGCTGTAGACAATTTCCTGCTTTTCCACTCGTTGGTATTGCTGCAGCCAAATGGTAAAATGTTCCCCAGATGCCGAAAATTGCAACTAATTTCATGCGAAGCCAGAGCCAAATCAGTTGTGCTGTAAACTTTATGCAGACACGCACACACACACACACGCACACATACGCACACACATTCACACTTGCAGATCTCATTTCAAAAACTTTAAAATTAGTTAAGTTACGCTCAGCAGATACCAATAAAGCTGCCCCAAATGTGAACAAACAAATTTATCTACTTATGGTTGAAGAGACTGTCTCCATATATCTTACACTCCCTGTCTTCTTCTCTCATTCTCCAGCTCTCGTGCTCTGTGCTTAAACTTATACGTTTTTGGCTGGGTTAGGTTTGGTTGAATGTAATTGGATCAACTTTGGTTGCTTTTCACGCTTTGATGTGGGCTCGGCATTGCGGCATATCAAAGTTTCTGTTAAACTTGATCAAACTTTCAATCAAATTAGCAGACACGTTGTTCTAGACGCCATACGAAAAAGTTGCGAGGAACATTCTCTAATAGATGTTAATTATTTTTAGAAGCGAAGCTTCTTAACTGATTTTCTCTTTAAAATACAAACATTTCATTTTGTAGGTTACTACTTAGGGGCACAAGTGAAAGTACATTTTACCAATTTTGTGCAACACAAAAAGCCAAAGAAGCAAAGGACAATTTGTGTCCTTACGTTCGGTTGGGAATGTGCATGAAAAGAAAAAGCACAAAAAAATACAAGCAAGCAGCTTTGGCTTTCACAACAAAATATCCACGTAAACTTTGCTGTTGTACTTGTTATTTTTTCGTGTCGGTTGTTAGCCCCTTTGCTTCATTTCGCCTTTAACTTGTTCTCCCTACTCTCGCTTGGTTAGAAGGCTTTAGCCCGACAAAGCACTGCAGTGACAAAGAATTTAAGAGCTAGGCTAGCTATGGACGCTGGAGGGGCCATGCGGCAACTCGAAGCAAAACACTTAAGTTTTAACCCAAATTGTTGCCAACAAAGCGGTTTGTCTAACATTCTTTCGAGAAAATTTTACGAAAAAGTGTTTACTACCAACAAAATACATACACACCCACAAAAATACACGCACAAAACAGTTTTCGCCCAAAGAGTAAGCATTGCCACTAACTAAAACCCAGAGAGCAGCCCAGATAAGCAGGGTACGGTAACAATAAGCGCAACAAGAAAAGTGCAGAAACGTAGCTTAACTAGTTATAATGGGTTCTCAAATTAGAAATGGTATGGAACAGTGGAAATGAAACACAAATTAATTATATATAATACAGAGAAGATATATTAAAAAATTGGCTAAACTAGCTAAAAAGGGTTCTTAAATTAGGAAGTGGTCTGGAGCAGTGGCAATGGCAAGGAATAATAATAAGTAGAGTAGAATATAATAGAGTAATAGAACAGGCAAGTGTGGATTGGAAGAAAACCTTCCAAGTGGGATCGGATAAATGATTCAAATTCAAAAGTTGTCGTAATAAGTGAAAGCTTTATCAAGTTTGTAATTGTTATCGACTATCATCGGTTTTCCCAGAGTAAATAAGTATAGTATATCTATCAAATATCCTTTTCATGAACGAAAAACCACCACTGTAGCCCAGCTTTGAGGTTTCCGGATGCGAAAAGCAATTGAAGTGCACTTAGAGACCGCGCATAGAACTTTTCCACTGGCCAAAAATGCAATTGTAATGAATTACTTTGGGCAAATGAGCACTCAAAGTGAAACTTTTAACAGCTTTAAGTTGCCGTGGCTGAATATTGAAAAGCGAGTTTCAAGTGGAGGAGTCATCGAACTATCCCACTGATAGGTAAACGATTTTAATCCCAAAAATCTGTGCGCACAAAAACGTGGGAAAAGCTGCACACTGCCCGACTAATATTGCGGTCTGGTATTAGTCTAGGACTGTCTGCCTGCCAGCGACATGTTGACCTTAAAAACTTGACGTGTTCAAATGTTGCAAAACAACTCAAGGGCTTTCGACTTGAGCACTTTTTCTGTTCAGTTCGCTTTTGATGGGGCTCTCTCTTTCAACCCCCATGCATCTCTGTCTAACTGTATCACACACACACGGCTCTCTGTTTGACGCACATGAAGTGCCGCACTTGAAATATGCTTTTGTGCCCCGCAGAAATACCAAGAGCTGGAGAGAGGGGCGAGACGGCGGCAACGACAACGTATGGTAGGTGTGGAAAATGTGTTTTGACAAGTGTCACTTATGCCTAGCTACTATGAAATATGCAAACCTGTCAGCCTAGTCACCCAGCCGCCCCCACTTCAATCCAGAGGCTGCTTGTTGTAATTGCAAACTGCACACATGTTGGGATCAGGATGAATTGCATTGAGATGCGGTTATCGAGTGTGCATAAAAAATGAAAGGGGATGTAATTAATTTGCAATAAGCAAAAAAATGTGTGTGAAAAGTGCAGTATAAATGAGAGCAAGGAAAGTAGTTGCTATATCAAAGAGATTTATGAATTCAATATACTAAAGAAACTAGGAAAAAGCCGGATTAAATGGAACGAATCATGTAGGTTATAAAGAAGAAGAAAAACGAACTGTATTAATTGAACACCTTACAGTTGCTGAGTTAAATTGGGTATTTAAAACTAAAACTTGTACTAGATTTGTCATGTCTTTGGCGCCGTCGCATGTTCCTTATAAATAACAGTGCCAAGATAAGTTACAAAATTAATATGCGAACCTTTTGCGTGCTTAAATTTTCAAATAGACACTAAAGCCATTGACCCTTGGGAATATGCTATAAATATTAAACCAAGGCTTCAAAAGGAACCCCAATGCAAAAGCATATTCAATATATTTTATATAAATTTGAGACCACTAAATTCCCAGGGGCAGTCGAACTGGCTCAACTGAAAGCTTGGAACGCGGCATATACGTAATCTGCTATTAATATTTAAGCCACGTTAAAGAACTTTCAGCTGCGTCTTAAAGCGCTAAACAGTTCGTTTGCAATCCTAAATTCCATCCCAGGGTTGAACTCATTTGTCAGCGTTAAAAGTTCTTCGAACTCCAGTGCCACTGTGGCAATAGGAACCCCTATTAATTAGCATTTAACCGCAATCCAACGCGTTTTCTTCGCTCTCCAGTGAAATATTTATTCTATGAATGGAAATTGGCCAAAGGTGTGCTACTTAAAATTAAATATAAACAAATCGCAGAATTGTTCCAGTGAGCAAACTCCCAAGGTTTCAATTACAACGCAAGCTTGGCAAACAAATTTGAGGGTTCAGTTTAAAATTTTGGCGAACATAAAACTCTATGAAACCTGTTCACTACCTCGTCTTCAATACGGAGCCCAGCCTTAGTGTAACTATGAGGAGGAATGAATAAATTTTCATTGGCCACTTTTTCAGCACATACTTCTGCATTGCCAAGGAAATGTTGCCAGCATGTGCCACCTATATCGAAACATAGTCTCAACATTCTTGTTGTTCTACCCCAGCTTTGGTTACATTTGCATAATAACACCTTTGGCTCGTAGTTGTTGTCCTCATTGCAACTCAAATGCAATTTGCCGCATAGCTTTCAAGTTTTTCACACCTTTTGCTGTTTCTTTGGCATTTGCAAGCGTCAATTGGGTCAAATGCGTAAGAATTACGGCAAATTTTTGTACGTTACGTTAGACTAAATACCGTAGGTAACTTTTAACCATAAGCCAGACACTAGGTTTTATTTCTTCTATTTTTCTCTTTCAGCAAATTGCAAATTGCTGATCAAAGGGTCCCCAATTGAGAGTAGGCCTGAAACGCTTAAAAGCAATTACGAATTCCGGCTGTCATTTTGCCGGCGAACCGGAAGTCATTATCATGGCAAACAAAGCGCAACATAGACGGTGCCCACAGCCAACCACAGCTACAACAACAACAAGAACTCAAACACACCATTACATACAACATTTTGCGCCTTTGCGACAACTTGGCTTGGGTCCGGCTTCGACTACGAGTTTGCCCTCATTATCGAGTTAATTATGTGTGTATGTGAGAGAGCTTCTACTGTCGATGTGTGTGTGTATGTGTGTGTGTACGTGTGTGTGCTTGTGACCAAAGGTAATTACAGCTACGCTTCCATTGTTGGCCAGCTTCGGTAGGTTGTCAATGATGTTCTCTGTTCTCTATCGAGTTTTACACCTTCGCCTCATTGTAATTAATTCGCAAGGCGACTGCCCTAATGATGTGGTTTGGTCTATTTACGGTGATGAATATCTCAGCAAGACTGCACACGAAACTCGCCTTCGAGCCGCCCATCAGATTAAGTACAAAGCATTTGCGAATTCATCAGTCAGTGTGTCTCTAGGTATATGTACATATATGCGAGTGTGAGAAGGCTTTCTAGACTGCTTAAAAACTATATGAAATCCTGTTTTATATTGTATTGATCTTTGCTATATAAAGATATAGCAACGGTAACGCCCGCCACCTGAAAGCATCTCGTTTGAAATATTATCGAGAAATAAAAATATTTTATGGCTTACATTACTCTTTAAGCATCCGTCAATCTCGGGTCTGAAGTGAATAATTATTGTAACAATAAATATTTTTAAATTTCTCGTGAAGCTTATACATTTCGAAGCTTGCCAAAATGTTTGTGAAAATTTGCCAACCGTTTGAAGTATTTTAAAACGTACTTACTGACTTTTTCTCTGTATTTCTGTTTCTCTTGCCCTCTCGCTCTTTTATTTTTCTCTTTCTCTCAGTTCACACTCGCCATTTGCCGTTCATTATCAAAGACCCAACTCAATGCTTATCCTGAAGGTTAATTACATTTATCCAAACGCAACTGACCCCGCAGGACATTGACTTAATTTCCCCAGCGTTTTTTTTTTCCACCCCTCTGTTTTTCATTCGTTGCCTGGCCTTATTTCGGCCCGCCTCTGTCTGTTTTTCTGTGCGCTTTTTTAATTTTTTAATGCCTAAAAAATACAGCGGCAACATCGAGCCAAATGGGCCTGTAAACGCTTCGAGCGATTTTGGCGATTTTCAGTATTTTTTCCTTGGGATTCTCTTCTGCTTCTCTCTGGTCCTGTTGTGCTCGTTCAAGCGCCTAAATGGTAATTAAAAATTGTTGCATTGCCGCTCGAATGCGTCTGATATTTATGTAGTTTGGCGCTTTTGTAATTTTCTCTCTTTTACTTATTTGCTCTCATATTGTTTTTTTTTTTTTGTTTTTGGGTTTCTAACGAAAAATTTAATGTTACTTACTGACGGTAAAGTGGTTTTCCGATGCAGCTTCTTATGAAATCTCAATAAAATAGAGTATAGAAAACTCAGAACAGAGAGCACAGCTTCAGTAATCAGAAGCACTTCAGCTTAAAACTGGCTTAATAGAAATTACTTAAAGTTTTTAATTGCTAATGTTCAATGAATATTGTTGAGATGCTCAGAAGCACATAAAGTTTTGCTTCAGTTTATAGTTTGATCCCAGCTTAAAGCTGCGTCCTATAAAATATGCAATCTGCACCAAATACTCCACAAAAGCAACAGCAAACCGCTTACTTTATTTTCAATTTTCGAGATAAAAAAAGACTCGCTAGGGGCTATAGGACGGCCAACTAACCAAGCCCTCTCACGTAGAGCTCGACACTTCTGTCTCTGTTGTCGATTTTCTTTTCCAACCAAATTGCCAAAATCGAATGCACTGCCAAATAAATTTTGATTTTGACAGCAATTTTCGAGAAAAATGCCAACTTTTGTGAGGCGTCAGTACGTTTCGGGTGCTGCATTGGATAGAGAGCGGCACGTGCAGGTGGAGGAGCACGAAAGCTGTGTGTCTGATGACGAAGTTGTTAGCGGGTCGCAAGCCCGTTTCTCTCGCTGCTGTCGCTGGTGCTGATGCCGCTGCCTGTGTTAAGTGTTGAGGCCAGTAGCAACCAAAAGTCTGCCACAGCTGCAAGCTGTGCCCTGGGCAGGAGAGACAGGGTCTAATCCTAATCCTAGTGCACGCAATGGATGGCCACTGGCGCAGTTACAACAGCTGCAAGAGTGGCTACAGCGGCAAAGACTGCCGTATCGTGTTATGAAACATGGCACAAAGCTAAGTTCCCTTTTCTATACCCTGTGCATAAAGTGGCTAAAGGGTATCCACAAATGTTGAGTTGCCAATTTAAAATAAAACACCTAGTCCGATTATGAACTTGGTAAATGTAATTGTGGGAGGGGGTTTGGTCCTTTCTGGTTTGCAAAAGCATACAGCAATACATACAGGATAGCTAAAAGCACAGCCAAGGGTGAGTACAAAGCATTCCAACTGGTTTTTGTCTCTGTGCATGTTGCGCTTTCACATAAAAACCAACGCCAAATCCTGCGCTCTGCCCTACTGCCTTGATGTGAATGCTCTCTGTGTGGAGTGGCTCATTCAGCTGTTGTAAGCTTAAATATTTAATTTTATTACGTCAGAAAGCGAGCGCAGCGGATTCAAACAGATAAATGCTTACTGAGGAGAGATCAACCCGCAGAACTCAGAACAGTGCAAAGGGACTTTGAAAAGAATGCGCCTATAAGGATATATTCATGCCCCATTGAAAGCTTCTTTGGTTTCGTATATGTGCCGACTGACGGAAGCCCTCTATATTGGAAGTCTGCCAGGTGCTTTCAAGCTGCAAGTGGCACTCAGAAGTGAGCCACTTCAAACAAAGTTGCCAGCTTAATTGGGAAGCAGCTAATATGTTTGAAATAGTCAAACGAATTACTAAGCATATTAATTTTGTTGATGCAGCTAAAAGATCTTCATAAAGCAATTTAAATACAGTTTACAGAATACTTTACTCACAACTGAACATCTTTAAATCCACTTTCTTTGCAAAGCAATTGCATTCCTATATAACATTTTCATCTATTGAGTTGGCTTCGCATAAGCCTTAGCTCAGCTCTAGCCGACATAGCCTCACAGACAGCACAACCACATCCGCAGGATATTGCGAGCTGCTCGTCGGCTGATGCCGCCATATGAGGAACATAAAATCTGCTACTCCTGCTTCTACGCGACCTGTCGGATATTTGTTGAATTCAATTAGAGTAGATGTAAGCTGCACAGCAATGGATTGCCCCCAAACGAACCCGAATCCCAACTGCTTGTACTCGTAATTAGTGTAGGTGGGGCTGAGCCTTCCATCTCGACAAATAGAACTCACACGCAAGCCACAGTACACGAAAAATTGCAAATTCGTCTCGAATTTGTTGTACGAAATTCTTTGGGGCGCCGGCAATAATTTCGTCAATGTTATTGTTTGGTTTTCTCTATAAATACGATTTCCAAGTGGATTAGTCTATAACCAACGATATTGATATATGAGCGCAAGTCATGCAATGCGGTAAATGATAAACAGCAACGCCTTCAATAAAAGATACAAACAACTGACGGTTGTGCCGGCAAAATATAGGAGAATGAAAGGTGTAGAGCTTTCGTACGATATGAATACTTAAAATAACGAAACTTTGGTGGCTTTACTTATGATATTTCAACAATATTTAGTTTTACATTCTATGTATATAATATTGCAACAATATTCAAACTTTATATATATTTATATAGTTTATTATTATTCACAAGACAAAAATAAATTATAAGATAATTAAAAATAATTATTTGAGTGGTTCTGTATATGTACGAAGATGGCGTAAAAAGAATTCGATCCAATTTCCATTTGCATATTCATATACGTTTGGGATCTACATCTGATGATTTGCACTTAAATAGCTTACTTATATAATGGCAGAGAACCAGCTGTAAGGTGTTTTTTTTTTTTCTAAAGGCAACATATGTTTCTGATTCTGCCTATATAACTCGCGACATATTGAAGGAGAAGTGCCAGTCTTCATTAGCTGTTTCTAAGCTCAACAAGTTGGCAGTCGGAATCTGACTGGACTTAACAGTGGCCTTAGTCATTTCAAGGTGGTAAGAGGCGGCTCATCTGTCAAATAAAAGCTATAGCTAATCAAACAACAATGTACGATTATGTAAATCTTACAGAAGAAATCAAAGGTTGTAACTATAATCAACATTAAAAAACTGAAAACTTACCTATAAGACTTACAGTTAATACCACAGGCAAGTCTGCCTTGGAAGAACATTCCAAGTACACTTTCATGATTGTCATTGCCACTATCACATGGCTGCTGCTCAGCTGCATAAGTAAGTTATATGCAGAATTATAAAGAGAAGCCCACAAAAATAGAGTCTCATTGCAGGTGCTTTCATTTACTGCTGCAATTACTGGGAGCTGTTTAAACCTTCCTCGAGAAGAGCTGCTACCGACGAGCAGTCGGACCAATCGGAGCAGTCAGAAATGGAGCAACAGAGCATGCTGCTTACACAGGTTAGTGAGGTGAGCAGCACCTGAGGATTGGGATTGTAGCACGAAAGCGCCGGGAAGGTCACAGCAGCGGCAGAACAAAGCAGAAACAAAATAAATAAGCCAGACACTGGCTGAACAAAGCAGAAGGAGTGAGCGATGCAAAGCAGGAGGAAGAGCAGCAGCTGCCGGCGATCAGCTGCAGGAGAGCAATATGGCGGCGTGCAGCTTCCATTTCCGTTTCCGTAAACTTAATTCCACACACACACACACACACAAGCACAGAGTAAAAAATCAGCATGTGCTGCTGTTTTCCTTTCTGTGTTTTCGGCTTTGCGTTTTACACACTGTTTAGTTGTTCATTTTTCATTTCTTCTCGCTTTTTACGCTTTGGCCCAAAAAATATTTTATTACAGCTGCAGCTCCAGTGAAGTGTATATTTTCGGGTTGGTCTTTCGTTCCTTTGCTAGCACTAAAATAGCGTCTTTTATGCAAATTTACAATGCCAGCTGAGAGCGTGGGGGAGCGTGCCGGAGCCAACATGACTTCCGCTACGTAACTGGCTTAATTTGGAGAGTAAAGCGCAGAATAACAAAAATTAAAAGCGACCCGAAAAAAGGTACAAATTCAAGGAAGAGCCACAAGCAGCAAGAAGTTAAAGACATTTTAAGTCTTTTGTGTGAGGTATGAGCTGAGTGAAAGGCTTTAACTCGTTGGGCTCGTTAGAAAATTGTGAAGGGTACTTTTCAATAAATGTGCTCTATTAATATTTAATGCAATGCCAAATTTTCGAATATAATATAGGCTTTTCTGGTGGACATGGTCCATTATCCCTTTTACTTGAGCATGAAAACTTTTTTCACCCTGGACCTGACCAATTATATTATTTTTGTCCCAAAAACATGCCAACACATCAGTACAGGCCGTAAAAGCACATGGCTGCTGGCTATGTTTGTGTTATGCCTGAAAGTTTGAAACTTTTTCTGGCAGCTTTTGTTTAAATTAATAAAACAACAGACAATTTAACGTACTTTGTCGTACAAACAAACTAAAATTAACTAAATTTTCTCAGAGCAACAGCAGCAAAACATTAAGCAAACAGCCGAAAAGTATGCTTTAACTTTGCGCATTAAATAAATTCACACACACACTCTCACAAAAGCTAAGCGAACAAAGGTTGGGAAAAAGAGTGAATGAAGGGACTGAGGAGTGGCACAAACTAGAGAAAGAGCCATAACATTTATCATGACCACTTAAGGATGCTTAAAATACACAAGCAACGCACGCGTCTAGCGTTTAGGGGAGCGGGTCTTGGCGGAGGGAAAGCGGGTGCGTGGGCTGACGTATAAAGTAACCAACAAGCAGCAACAACAATACGCTTTGTTAAATCAATTTGATAAACTGTCAATAATGCGCCATAATTTAATGTGCTCTCTCAAGACACCTACCACCAAACCACCCCAGCCAGGCGGAAACAACCCCGAAGTTGTTTTCAGATTCGCTTTGACTGTTGTCATACGCAATTATGATGAACTTGGGAGCTCAGCCACATCCTCTGACAAGTGCCCTATTAGCACTTTGTAAAGCACAGACAAATTTTTGGTTTGCTGGACAAGCGAAATGTTTGATTTTCTACAGATATCCCCGAGACGGACAAGGAACTTCACTGAGGATAGCGGCGATTTAGGGAAAGTGTCATAAAGCAAGAACACATAAGCAGATGGAGCTTAATCGGGAGCAGGATAACAATGGCAAAACTGGTGAAAATGATGACGACAATGATGACAACGATAGAAAGAGGGAGCAGTGGGCGTGGGTTGGGGTAAGGGGTGCTGAGCTGGTTCTGTGCGTGCGTGTATTGAATCCTTTTGTTCCGTGCGGTGAGGGGCTGTTGGAAACGACCTTCATAAAACAAACACGCCGATAATGAGAGGCAGGCGAAGAGACGCCCTTCGCTTTCGCAGCGGGGTGAGGCAAAAATAGGGCCCGGATACGACTATCATTGGGGGTACCTTCGCAAGTGGCAGATGTCATCGAAAACGAAAGCGCACAGTCGGTGCCAGGCGCCAATTGCCCTTCGCTGCTAATGTGAAGACTTTAGGGCACTGGAAACTGCGCCTTACAGTTCCCCGGGAGTGCAACTAACTAGGCGATAATCGACATTTGATTTGGTGCGGCAAAAACTTTCATTGGGGTAGTTGAGTAGTTCGTGAACGGATTTCCAAAGGGCTTAAGTGAGGCTCTAGATATCGACGAAGGTTCAAAATACGTGACAAACACAAGCGCACAGCCAAAGACATTTCCACAATTTTTCTTTAATAAACCAATTTAAATTATTCAGCATTCATTTAAGTGCAATAAATTATTTATTTACTTTTGGCATTTGTTCCATTGGTACTTGAAAAATAGTAAAGCACGACCTATTTGGTCAACGGGATAATATCAATAATTAAGCAACAGTGTAAATAAATAAATTAAAATGTACATACACATACATGATAATGTTTTTGCTCACTAGAATTACGAGGCAGACCGACTTTTATATACACACATCACATAAGGGATGGGAGAAAGTTTAAAAGAGTATATTAAACATAGAATATGAGCAGAAATAAACTTTTTTAATTTCCAACACAACTTGTTACTGAAATAACTGCTTTATTCAGAGCAGAAAATATCATAGTAGGACGATACGTAAATATTAGTATTATATAATTTGCAGCGGTAAGCAAACATGTGTGATACACACATATTTACATCAGTTTATAGATACATACATATCAATATATGCACTTTAATATATATTCTAGCGGGTATTGCCCGGCCTTGCCCGTGGAACGTTATGTGGTAAAAATTGTTGCCTTCCTTACCTGAATTAGTGGAATCGCGGGATAGAGCAATATTTACAAATACTTTTTTTTTTGTTCATTTTCAGCTCAGCTCATTTTACATTACATTACATTTTACGCACATTTAAATACATGAATTTATTTAATTACATACAAGCCAACACGCATACATACGATTGTAATAGTTGTTACTTTTATTTTGAATATAATATATTGTTATGTTTATAATACGTACCAGACACATTTAAAATTGATGCCGACTTTTCCGCCAAGGCCATATCCACGTATCTTCCAATATTTAAGCCATCGCCTATTCAACTATTCAAGTCGCCTTGTCCTCCTTTGCTCAAGCTGCCTTCTCCACATTTGAAGCCCCTCTTCCACTTAAAGTGGAAATCATGAATTTATGAAAACCGCGTAGCAGGTTTTAAGAATACGTTTTTTTCATAATTGCAGCGCAGATTCATATAAATATATAAAATATATGCATAAACTCATTTACAAATATAAATGAATATATATTAAAATTCATATATGTACTCACTCATGCACTCACATATGTATATATAATTACATACATACATGTATACACACACACATACATACATACGTTCATACATACATACATACACACATACATGCATACATACATGCATACATACATACAAACTTACATACAAACATACATACACACGTACATACATACATACATTCTTAAATGCATACATACATACATGCATACATACATACACACATACATACACACATACATACATACATACATACATACATATATACACACTACATAATAGAGACTTACATACACAACACATTCATAGCCTACATTCAAATTGTATTTAAATATAAGTAATTACTTTCTAGCTTAACGTGCGCCTCCATCATATAAGGTAATTAAAGTGAAAATTTTAGCTTTCTAGCTCTGACGGATTAGGCTGTGTTTTGATTGGCAATCAGCCAGTCAATACAAACAGCCTTATATATCGAGATAAATAATACACAATTATATGAAGAGTTTGGGGAAAATGGTTAAGTTATGAAATGAAATTATGAATTCTTAGACTTCTAAGCCAATATTTTTATTTGAATTCAAGAAAATGCTGGTCGTCATAAAATGCCATGAACCGGGGATTTTATGTAGTCAATATTTTAATATTTGTTTCTAACTTAAGGTTGTACTAGCTTTCGCAATACCTTCACGTAACATCTTTTGACTTTCTGCACAGATGCACTTCAGAGTCATTTGTCATTTGGCTTTGTGCCTGGCATACACGTACGTACCACCACTGCCACCTGGTGGGCATGACTGGCTGAGGACGTGGCCGTGACGGACTCGCCATTGTCAAGGCGTCATGCAACAAACAAACAAATAAACAAACAAGAAAATCAACAAAAGAGCGAACGTGTAGAAGGGTTTTTTCTTTGCCTGAAGACGCTGAGCGAAGGGATTTCCCTCTTGAGACAAAGCCAAATGCACGCGAACGTGTTTGATATGCACTTCACTTGGCATAGGCTTAATTATTGGGCCGGAAAGAAGCTAGCCTTGTTCTGGCTTAGAAATGAACAAACAAAAAATTATAAAATTTAATGAAATAAACAAGAAATAAAGAATTTGGTTTTGGAACTGTCAGAGTCCGCAGTTCAAGCTAGAAAGAGTCAAAGTTGGTGGATCTCCTACAAAATTGAATCTCGGAACAGCACAAATAAATACTTGAGAGGATGTTGTCAATTTATGCGCGGCAACGCCAACACTGGTGGAATGAGAAATGAATATCGGATTAGTTCTGAGCTGTTGCTTTCCACTCAATTGTCATTAGGTTTCTTGTGTTCCTTGCTGTTTTCATTCCATTTGCAATAGACTTTTGTGCAGAAAGCAGGCTTAGGAACACGAGTCCTTAAGGAGATCCTAGTTTCCGTTGCATTATTACTGCGCTCTTCCTTGCGCCACAATTGAGCCGAATGTAGAGTGTAGGCGTAAAATGGATGAATTGGTTGCCTGCCTAATAAGCTGCTCTGATAATAACATAGTAATGGAAATGGTCTTCTCAACAAATTAAATGCCCCTTGTCGCTCGGTATTATATTTTTGGGAAAGCGTAACTGAAAAAATCTAATGGAGGACGGACATCACGAGAATGAATACTTTATGGACTTGGAGCTGCGTCCTTTAGCATGTAACATACATTTGTTCCAAACTATAAACCCTTTTTTATAAATTTTCAATGTGTTTGGCGCATAATATATCCAACAATTACAACTTCAAACTACTTATATAAAACATCATATTTGTAGGCTGATGAAGCGTTGGCAGCTGTTGCCAAAGTTTTCCAGCCAAAGTTTCGCAGTTCTCGCATCCCTGACGACTCGGTGCAGTCGCTGACACTTGTTTTTGGTCTAAGTGATTTAGGTACAACTTGTTGTCCCGCCCCCCCCTAAAAAGTGCGGAAATGTATCGCTGAGCGAGAGCAAAAGTTTTGTTGTGCATAATCGTTGCTCGTCCCGGCGGAAACGGATCAAAAGAAACAGTTTGCAAACTCTGTTTGACTAAATGAATTTTTCAAATCTTCATACTTGGCCTCTTAAAGCATTGGGTTTTGCATTAGCCGGCGTCTAAAATTCTGCATAGTCCTGTGCCACTTTGCGAACAGTTAACACCATTCGAGTGAAGTAAAATCAATAAGCGTTTGTTTACCTAGCTGATTAGTTATTCAACGCTTTATGTGTGTTTGTGGAGCATTTACGGGCGGATTATGTGACGACTGACGGTTACCATTTCACGTGAGTATGTGCCGCGGACAAACACGTGCCACGCGGCCGCTCCACAGAGTCCGGTCATAATTCATTTGCATAACATTAACGGCTGTCCGGATGCAAGAGCATGCAACGAAACCAGTTAGAGGGAGTCCAAACTGGAAAGTGGGCTAACAACTAGATTTAAATAATATATTTATATACTATATAATAATATTTTATATGAATTTGAAACCGATCGGTCCGTTTTCGCCAATTTACCACCATTGCGGGTGAAGCTTCGCAAATCTCTGAATGACATATTTATTAAACTTTTACGTAGAGCTTTGAAAATAAGTTTGAAGCAAGTCGGAGAAAACTTGAAACTTCACCAAAAAATTTTAGAATAGCACTTTCCACAAGTTTTAAATGATTTTTTATGTAGATCCTTGAAATTGAGTTTGGGGAAAAGTCGAAAAGTCGTCCAGTAAATCTATGACCCCCATTTCCACAAAGGAGGAATACATTTTGGATAAAGTTTTTCGGTAATTAACCACTGTTGTGGGTGGAATTTTCTAACTTATTAACACAAGACCGTTTAAATATGAAGATGGGAGAGCATTACTAGCTGGCTGTAAATGTTAAATGTTCCTTGATGGAGTTATTTCAGAACTTTCTTGGTGTGTTTTTAATTTAAATGTTACAATTTCTGTCCAGCTTAGTTGACCGAATTTTTCATCTCGAAATTTTCAATACATATAACACCCTTAATTATAGAAAATAGCCCGAAAATTACCACATTTTCCTTATATAAGAAAATTTGATAGTTTTAAAAAGACGTTTTCTTTTGTTATTGTAGTGCGATTCCCGCTTGGGTTTCTCTGCGTGTGAATGAGATCAGGGTAATCCCTCAAAAAATTGACACTTAGCTCAAATCAAACGGGATCTTTTGTCAATCTTCGTTTCAGCTCAATTTATTTTGATATTCTCACTTAACTAAATTTGCATGTGATGTAGCAGTGGCTTTTTTGATTGATTTACTTCTTTAGCAGGGTAGAGACAAGAGCGGGAGCGGCATAGGTGGCAACTGGAGCAGCATAGGATGAGTAAACCGATGGCGCCACATACGAGGCGGAGTAGACGGAAGGAGCGGCAGCGTATGCGGTGTAGGCACGTGGAATGGCAGCCGAGTAGACCGTAGGTGCGGCAGCATACGTGAGGGCAGGTGCAGCGGCGTAGGTGGCAACTGGTGCCACAACATGGGCCTGGGCCACGGCGACGAAGAGAGCCAAGCAAATGAGGAACTACAAAGGAATACAATATTAGAATATCTTCTAAGCAAATGTTGCTTTAGCTAACTCACTTTCATGATGATTGTTTGGGTTTGTGTGTGTACGACGAACGTTCTCAGAGACTGGAGTGCGTTGACTGATGCTGGTCCATAGACAGTCTGCTCCATTTATACTCGCAATCGAGGCACAACTGTGTGCAAGAACAAGTTTGCCTGACACGGATGTGAATTGGTAGCACGGTGGACACTAATCTGCCATATCGAATGGATTAGCTGCGTTCACCTAGGTCTCGTACTTCATTCGTATGCTCACTACCTAATGGATCTTGATTGACAGCGTACAGAAATTGTGTAGGTCGTTCACGAAGAGAGAAATAAAGCCTACAGTTTGGGCTTAGGCTTATTGTTTTCGATTTCATTGCGCCGGGTCGCACCTGAGCGGTGACAAGCAACATTACTAAGCATAAAGGCGACTTACAATACAATATAGTAATTATGGGTTTGTGTATCTCTGAACAATTCAAAGACGTCATGTAATTCACGTCATAACTATATGTTTACAACCAATTATGAGTTTGACATTGACATTGTCCGAGGCGAATGGAAGGTGTTGAAAACCACGTAACGAGAGCTTTTTGCAGTGGGTATTTCTAGATTTTATTCTTTTCAAAAGCTATTTTTAAAACGGAATTAATACGTGTACGGGTTCATGATAAGCTACATATTTGACCTATAAAAGTAGTTAGTGTTGCCAATTTAGCCGTTTTTTAGTTATGGTTTAAAAACTGATTCAGCTATTATTAGTATTAGACTTAGCTACTTTTTAATCAATCGGAACGCTGGAATAAAACGAATCTTTAGATCAGGTTTTGGTAAATCGTTAGGTAGCACTTGCTCCCTATAATAGGTACAATAACTTAGCTTCTAATAAATTGTAGCTAGCATTTTCAAACTGAGCTGTACTTAATGAAATTATCGTTCTGGCAGACATGTATTGATTTATAGTATATATGTAGTTATCGATAGGAATTTGACAGGCATGCCTGCATGCTTTTTTTTCATCCTGCAAGGAGATAAAGCTAACAGAAAGTGAGAGTCGACAGATGAATAATTTTCTGGTTGCAGGTATGTCTAATAAAATTGGAAAAATTGAAACAGCTCAACAATCGCGAAACAGTGGACAAGTAATGGAACCACTTTGTGATGTGCAGGAGGTGCTTAACGCACTCTGCTCCAAGCGGGTCAAACTGCGTGAATGGATACAAAAAGCTGTAAGTATCATAGAGAAACATTCAAGATAATGCAGTCCACTGCCATCGCGCTCGTTGCTCCCATTGCTAGTGGGCGTATTATCACCAAAATCAGTTTGAAGGTTTCGTGCTGCTGTTGGAGAATGCCATTACCCGTGGCTTCAAGACCTATCCGGGCTACAAGGAAGATTTACTGAAAATCCACACTCTGTTGGCAGCGCACTTCTTTCGTCTGGCCTGCAGCGAGCATGGCAACCGTCGTGCCATGTGGCAAGAGAAGGTATCGCAACAACTGCAGATCATGGACAGCATGCAGCTGGTTTCCAATGACTTGCCGCATCTCTTGTGTCGCGGCTTTGCGCTGATGCTGACGGAGGCGCGTCTACAGGACGCAGATAATCATTTTGTTTCCGTGCTGCGACAGATGCCGTACAGTGTCCCCGCCCTGCTGGGTCGCGCCTGCCTGGCCTACAATCGTCAGGAGTATCGTGTGGCGCTGGGCTACTTTAAGAGCGTGCTACAGCATCATCCGCACGGACCGGCCGATGTGCGCGTGGGCATTGCCCACTGTTTTCTCCAGATGGGCGATTTGGACAGCGCTCGACGTGCCTTCGAGATGGCCGTACAACGCAATGGACGCTGCATAAATGCGCTGCTGGGCATCGCACAACTGAAGCTTAACGAGCGCCAGCGTGCAGCCAATATGGAGGCCACAAATTTACTATGCGCCGCCTTTGAGCTGAACCATCGTCATCCCGTGGTGCTCAGCTGGCTTGCGTGCTACCTTTACTATTCACGCAACTACGGCAAAATGCAAACGGCCGCTGGGAATGCATATTTAATCACAGATAATCCACTGCTGAAGGCTCAGAACTGTTTTCTGATTGCGCGCAGCTTTCACGCGCAAAGCAACTTCGATCGTGCCTTTGATTTCTATGGTAAGGCCTTGAAGTGTCTTTCGGAATATGCGCCACCTTATCTGGGCATCGCCCAGATGTATGTGCGTCGCGGACAGCTCGATCTGGCGGAGCACTCGCTGCGCTCCCTGCTTAAACTGTTGCCAGATAATCCTCACGGACTGCGCATGCTGGCCACGCTATATGCCCAGGCGGACTCACCCGGTAAGCTAGACAAAGCGATACAGCTGTTTAAAAGTGCTTTGGAGCGACCAGGTGCGCGGGATGATTACGACACATGGCTGGGTCTGGCTGGCACCTACGGGCGCCTGCAGCTTTGGGGGGAAGCCATCGACGCCTACGAGCAGGCCGTAAGCATCTATTTACGTTTACAAAAGACTACCAAGGAGGCACCTATAGCTTGGCTTAATAATGTGGCAGCTCTGCAGTTGCATGCCGGGCAGCCGGAAGCGGCACTGCAAACGCTGGATAAGGCTTTGTCTACGAATCCGAAAGGTGCCACTCAGGAGCACAGCGAGTGCAACATTCTCACGATGAGATTCAATAGGGCGCGCGTGCTGGAGGAACTGCACTTGGCAGATCGGGCGGAGGACAGCTACAAACAGTTAATTGCTGAATATCCCAATTATTATGACAGCTATCTAAGATTGGGCATTATGGCCAAGGACCGCAATCAAATTATCATGGCCATGGAGTATTTTAAGGCTGTGCTACAGCTGGAAAACGACAACGTGGCAGCCAGGTGGAAGTAAAAAATATTGTTCTTTTAAATTATATTTAAATTTAACTGCCTTTGTAGAACTTATCTGGGCAATTTGTATGCCAAGCAAGGCGCACTTTCGCAAGCCATGTGCAACTATAATGTGATCATGCGGCGTCCGGGCAGCTTCGGGGACTCATATATGCTTGTCGCCGTGGGCAACGTATGCTTGGTAAAAGTACAAAGGACCACGGCCAATGGCCAATTGGAGATGGCAAAGCAATATCAGGAGAATGCACTGCAGTTATTCAGAAAGGTAAGCGGCAGGAAATTCGTATGCGTATGCATTAGAGCTCTGCATTCGCTAGATAATTGGCTTCAAGCTCGGATACTCAACTCGATTTATTACATTTAAGGCCCTTGAACAAAATCAACGAAATTTGTGGGCCGCTAATGGAATTGGTGTTGCGCTGAGTAATCATGGACATCTGGCAGATGGAGAGTCGATCTTCAAGCAGATTGTTGAGTCTAGTAAGCGCTGTACTGAGGCTATTTTAAACACAGCACACATTGCCATGGAACAGGAGCATTATACAGAAGCAATAGACATATATAAACAATGTTTGAAGGAGTTTCTGCCCTCCAACAGTGTGAAAGAGATGCACTTGCTAGCGAAAGCTCTCTATCAAACCGGCCAGTTCGAGGAGGCCAAGCAATTGCTGCAAAAAGCTCGTCATGTGGCGCCCCAAGATCTGATGATACTCTATAATTTGGGAATAGTTATAAAGCAGGACATCAGAGAAACATATGGCAAGCAGCGAACCGATAGGACAGAGCTGCAGCGCGCCGAGAAGGAGCTTAATATGGCTCAAAGGTTAGTTGAGAAATTATTTGTATTAGGTACTTTGAATGTTTCTTGACTTTGTTGCCGCAGCATCTTTCAATACCTGGGGGGTAAGGAAGAGTCACTACAGACAGCTTACAAACAGGCGAATAAGTGCAGCAAATTGCTTGCAAATGTGCTGGAAGATTTTAAGAACTTGAGTGATCTTGATGAAGTGGAGAAAAAGACTGAAGAGCGTCAAAAAGCAAAGAGAGATAAGGCAAAAGCTAAAGAAAGCTCACGAAAAAAAGATTACTCGAAAAAGCGTGAACAGAAAGAAACTGAGACCGAAGTCCCTCAAAAGAGTGAGAAAGAAGAACCGATGAGTAAGGATCGTTACCGAAGAAAAGATCCCTCGAAGAAGAGCCAAGAAAAGATAAGTTCTACGGATGAGCAGGTAAAGGTTGAGCAAGAGAATTCAATATGTACGGAAGGCCTTCGAAAAAAAGAACACTTAAAAAAGCGTCAAGAGATGGCAACCGGTGCAGATGAACAAGAAAAGTCTAAAAACGACGAAAAGTCACGCAAAAAAGAGTACCCGAAGCAGAGTCAAGAGAAACCCATTCACTATACCGATCTCGAGAATGATGAGCTTGAGAAACCATTAAGTGATGTACTCTCTACTCATTGTAGTAAAAAAGAACACTCGAAGAAGCGTAAGGAGAAGGTTTATGAAACTAGCGATAGGCAGAAGATTGAGAAATACGAATCGGTAGATAAGGAGCGTTCTCGAAAAAAAGAACACTCAAAAAAAAGCGAAGAGAAGCCAACTGACAGCCACGAACTCCAGAATGTTGAGCCAGAGAAACTAGTATGTGAAGTAATTAATGCTCATGCCCGGAAAAGAGAACACCCGAAAAAGCGCCAAGAGAGGTCAAGTGACGCGGAAGAGTACCTTAAAATTGAAGATGGATCCGAAAACAAAGAATACCCGAAGCAGAGCGAAGGTAAGCCATATTTCAGCAACGAGCTCCTGAAAGTCGAGCAAGGAAGTCCAATAAGTGATGTACTGAATACCGATTCCCTCAAAAGAGAACACTCGAAAAAACATCACAAGGCAACTGATGCTGACGATCCCCAGAATAGTGAGAGAGAGGAACCGAAAAGTAAGGAGCGTTCCCGAAAAAGAGAATCCTCAAAGAAGCATCATGAGAAGCCAAGTGATAGCCACGAGCTGCAGATGGTTGAGCAAGAGAAACTTCTGGTTGGGAAGAAATTCAAAAGCCCCGCCAAAGTTGTGATCATGGACCAGGAGTTGGATACAGTTAAACCAAGGCAAAAACTGAATATTGAGGAACCTACTAAAAACACAGCAATTGAGATGACAATGGCAAAAGAAGAATTCAAGCTAGAAGACGCACGCAATGAGGAAAAAATCAAATCGCGTAAAAGAAAGCACAAATCTAAAGAGTTTGAATGCGAGGAGGAATCTAAGCCTGAGAAGAAGCACAAAAAGTCGAAGGAAAAGAAGTATAAAAGTGATTGCCAGAATATTGTTGAACTTCCCTAGATCGACAACCCGTTTGAATTATGGAATAAACTGTTGGTTTTAACTAAACTGATCATAATTTGAGGAATGACAATAAATGTTGTGTAAATGTTGTCGTTTGCACTCAACATCATGTTATTTTTTGTAATTCCCGCGAGGTAAAACAAATGTACAAACAGAAATTTCACATACAATTTATTTGCCGAAACGTGCGCCCACAGCGGGGCTAGTCGTCAGGTGTGAGGGACTAGCCCCGCTGGGACTTGGGTCTGTTACACATATGCATGCATTTATGTATGTATCCGTACATACGTGCTTGTTCATTTGAATATCGAGTCATGTTAAATAACCGCAGGACATTGGTCGCCGACTCAAATTACGCACACTTGAAGCCACTTTGTAACTGTCAGAGTCAAACGAACCGAAGTCAAATTCAAACGCGAAAAAATACGTTCGCTCATTAATATCAATTTATGAGCTGAGACACGAAATTAGTCTGTGACAAGCTTCGCCGCAGGATGTGGAATGCTTGAACACACACAAGCACACACAGGCATCTAAAGGGATATTTGCTTGCTTTTTGGGTGCTTTTGTGGGTTGCGTCTGGGGTTCTGTTCTGTTGCGTTAATTAATTCCAAATGTATTGCGTGTCCTGCCAAAAGGACAAATATGCGCACACGACTTCATGTCATGTGTGTCCTGTTGGTTGGGTGTGTGTGCGCGCCGCTGTTGTCATTAGCAGCGACTCGAGGGCTCGCTTACTCTTTAAATTATGAAAAATGTCTATAGCCTACGACAAATCAAATCAACGTCAACTGCCAGCAGTCAGATTCTGACAGGTGTCATATATTCTTTAGGTTAATTAAGCGCTCCTCCAAGCTTGTTTTTAATTTTTAATTGTATACTATTTTTGTTGCCATATTTAAATATACAAGGCTATATTGTGACATTTGTAATAAATGCATTAAATGTTTTCCAGTCAAATATATCCGCAAAAAAACCCTTTGCATTCATTTTCTGATTTAGTTCTTTATTTATTCTTGCACATATTTCAGATTTGTTTCCTTCATTTTTTTAAATATTAAGATTTATTTGTATAAGACGTTAAAAACGCTTTGGAAATCTTACGAAAAATGAAAATCCAAATAAAAATTAAAGATTTCGCTTACAACTTAAATAATTGACAGAAATGTTGAAAATATTAATCTAAGTTTAGTGACAATTTCAAACAAATTTTTTTTTTAAAATATATATTTTTGGGAAGTTATGTAGATAACTATACAATATATTTATTTCCAATTTATTTATTTTTTATGTTAATTTACAATTCGAGTCACAATATTATTTGATTCTGTCTATTCAAAAAGCACTTGCAATTTATTTATTTAGATGTGGTTCCAAAGAAATTCGAACACTGGCAAAAACTTGTAGTTTGTGTGTGTGTTTGTTTATCTTAAAGAGTTTTTATTTGAATATTGGGCGGGTGGCAAAATGTTTACATACACATGGCGCGGGCATTTTGGATTTTAATTACATATATACTTACATATTTGATAAAGTTCCGACAACAGATGCTTATAAAGTTCTTTCACATTTAACAAAAATATTATCGTTGATATACGAAATACATATATATATATATATATATATATATGTATTATAATTTATGCATACACATACATATCATTTGCGCCTAGCCAGATTCCTTTAATGTTGTGCTATATGTATTCGTATATATATTATCTATATGCATGTATATAGTAAGTATATATAATATATACATATATGCCTATGTTATGTTATTTATGCCATATAAGTCAATAATATACTCAGGATTTGTTCATTCATGAAAGGGGGATAGTCTTTTCGTAGATTCAATGTGACTAACTAATTTAGTTTAGACTACATGAGTTAAATGGCTACAATTAATGCTATATTTTATGGTTCACTTAGTCTTAGCCTAGTTAATATATACAACTCTGGCTACATCTAAATTCTCAAGGGATTTTTAGATATACATATATATAGATTTTATTTTTTGTAATTTTTACCATGGTGTATTTCCATTTAGTTGTTAAGTATTTGTTTAAACTAGTTTCTTGATGAATTCACAAGCATAGCTCATTATTTTCACTGAAGTATTTTTTGCGCACAAAGTATGTCAAGTATAAGTAGTTTATGTGGCTCAGTATTTAACTGATTCTTGGTACATAAATAAAAGCTACAACTATTAGTATTGCCTGGTTTCACCGAAATATATATATGGAATATATGTCATCATTTCTGCACACACATATACATACATATAAACAACGCTATGAAAACTGTGTTCCTGGTACAAGTAAACTATAAATGCTTTGTTCTCTTGTGGTTTACAGTTAAGTTTAGTCGATTTAAGATCTCTCACTTACCCATATAACATTCTATGATCGCTCTGCCATTTTGGAAGTCTTATTATTGTTTTTTTGTTCGCTTCGCTTTATGCCATTTTCAGCTGGGTGTTATTCCAAAAAGCTAAACGAAAGTGTATGTTGGGCAGCTGAACTACATAACTATAATACAATATGGGATTACAGTTCTGGTTTTGGGTCAGGTTCTCTAGACGATGGTGGTGCGCTCAGCGCCTGACGTGGTGCACGTACTGCTCCCCCCAATGCACACGATCTGACATTTAATGTCATCTTTGGCTAACTCTCAGGAGCTCACCGTCTCATAGTTACCGCCCACACCGCCACCGACGACTCCCATCAGGGAGCTGCCCACGCTGAGCAGCGGCGATTGCGTGCCAGCTACACTTCCCAGTGTGCTGTAGGCTGTTTGGGCACGTGGCGAGGTGAGCAGCGATTGGGCAGCTCCAATGGTTATATTACCGCTGGTCACTGAACTGGTCATCGCTGCCGAAACGCCGCCCAAGTGCAGGCTGCCTGGATGCGGCAATGTATTACACGTTATTCCACCTCCAATGCTACTGCTGTTGGTTTGCAGGGAGCCGTTCGACTGGCCGTTCAGCAGCGGCATCGTGCAGGTGGTTGTCGAGCCGTAGGGCGAGGTGGGAGATGTGCGGGTTTCGTAGGCGGGAAGATAGGTGGTGGCTCCTCCATTGGGACCACTGCTGCCACGTCCCGGTATTCTCGTATAGATGTTTGGTGGTGTTCGTGTCGACAAGAGCGGCGGTGGAGCCGTGTATACCGGACGCTGTGCAGCTGGCGCCCTCTGTGGTGTGTTGTATAAGCTAAAGGCGGGATTGGTGGTCAACGACAGTTCCCCATACTGCAAGAGAGAATGAGAGTGGGTGGAGATTGGGGTGGGGCAGTAGGGAGGTTCGTTTAGAAGTACTCATAAATAAATAAAAAATCCAAAGTGCAACTTTTATTTATATTTGGGCTGCATATTAAAATTTAGATAACAAATTTGTTGCATGTGTGCTAAAAAGTTAGTAGTAGTTGTTAGTAGCAAAAACAACTTTAACTGCTAATGAGCTTGTTAGGCAACGGCGCAGGGCATTGGCGGCGGGAGGTAATACAACACAAACTAAAAGCCAAACAAAAGTAACTTAAAATTTGGCCAGTTGGTTGGCCAGTCAAAGCAAAAACCATTTTTAGCTCATCACAATTTTATGTCGGCCCTTGGCTGAAAAAGCGACAACAATGATAATATTTTTCATGTGTATAGAAAGTGAGTTGTCCAAAATTCGAGAAAAACTGTGTATGCCGTGTAGGTTATACATAGAAATTATTCATCTAAACTATAAATAAAACTGTTTACTGTGTCCTAAGGCTTACGTATCACGACATCCCTAACCAAAACTAAGGGTTTGAGCACGAAGACCGGCAGCTCAATGGCCTTAATGACATAGCTTGACAGCATTAATGATTAACAATATGGTTTTTACTATTTTGAGTTTAAAGTTTATCCTTAGAATAGGCAAAAAAATATATCGATTTGGGCATAAGAGACCATAGTTACGAATTATTTATTTGCGATCTTTGACTAATTGCTTTCAAATGTCGTCAAGTTTTCCTTCGGTTTGCAATGGCTGTCGGTACATATAATTCCACGCTTACATTTTGCCAACAGCTCAAATTAATTTGTGTCAATAATGTGTAATAATAACTTGTGTGGTCCATGGGCATAAACCGAGAAATTTCATATTGTCCATACAAAATAATCGTATTAGCCAATATCTGCCTGCCATATTTGAGGATATTGTTAGTTTTAGAGACGAAGCCGGGGAGGCGAGCCTCGCATATCAAAATTAATTTCCATATGCATTGGCTAACCATGAATTTGTATCTGCGGCTTGTGGTAATCAGGACATGGGGTGGCATTGGCTAAATTTAGACTAAACTTGAGAGTTTTCATCTGAGCCCAGTGTCTGGCGGCCATGAAAATACTTAAGTTAAATGGCTTCTTATATAGCCAGACAAAAAAGTAAGCAAACTTGGAGAAATTTGTGAAGCGCTTGTCTTGACTGTGTAGTGTATCTTGCCACAAAAATCGATTTAGAATGTTTTCTGTGACACTTTTATAAGGCAATTGTAAGGAATTCACATTTAGACTACTTCAATATATTTACAACTTGTTGTAGTTCTTTAAAAAAAGGCATTTAAATTTTAGAAAAAAATATTTTCAAATTGGGCCCGATTAAATATGCAGCAAAATTAACAAAAGCATGAACAAGCCTTAAGGTATGCAACATAATTTAAATTACATTTCAAAAAATGTTTCGAGAATGGAACCATTTAAACATCGCCAAATGAGGCGCAATAAAAGTGCGTGCACTCATTAATAATATTTTGTTTTCCCAACTGTAGGCTTTTAATTTGTGAGTAACCACTGTAGCATATATTGCCGGCGGGGAAGACATCGGCAATTCTTCCCTATCTAGCGACTCACCTGTTTGCCAAAGGTGGGCGAGAGCGAAGGCGGCGGCGGCGAAGCGGTGTTAATGCGCGTGGGTGGTGTGTACAGAATGCGCTGTGATTCCATATTCAAGCGGTCGAAAGCCTTCTCTTCCAGATGGAACTCGTCCTCGCTGTTGGCCTCCTGTGGCACCACATCCGGGTTTTTGTCCTCCAAACTTGAATGGCTGCCCATGTTGCGCGACAGCGGCTCAGCGCTGCCTTTGTCCGCCTCCGTTGTGGTGGCATCACCATTCACATGGCGGCGGCTCTGTTTGCTGCGGAATTTAATAAAGATCACAACGCAAATGGCCACCAAAAAGAGTGTCGCAATGACGCCAACTAGCGCGCCCAGCAGCGGTGTCAATTGCACTAGCACCGCGGTCGAGGATGCTGCAACAACAACAACAACAGCAACAAGGTGCAGAAAGAGTGCATGAGTAAAATGTTGCAAATGAGAGAATACGGAAAATGCCAAAAGCAGCAGCTGGTGGCTAAACTGTCGGCTTATTCATTGTGTCTTACCTGTTCGCAGAAGGGGCGCGGAGAGTGTGCGTCCACGCACGCGATATGCCACCTTGCTGGCTCCCTGTGCATTGACAGCTGTTACACGTATGTTGAAAGCCGAATCGCTAGGCAGACGCTTTACTGTAAAGTCCGCATACTTATAGGAGGCATTGTAAAGTATCTGGCGGGTGAGCTCATCGTAGACCTGGGCATGAAAATGCTGTGGAATGCCGCCATCATAGCCGGGTATGCATTGTATCTGCAACGAGTTAGCCGTGGCATTATACGTCGTACAGTTTTTTACCGGTTCGGGTAGATCTGTGAATTAAAATAACAATAATATTGTATTGTTAAGCTGTTTTAGTCTATGCCAGGAAGCTGTTGCAAATTCAACAGAAATTTTCAATTAGTATTCTTGATGTGTGGTGGTAATTTGTGGATTTGTCTAAAGCTGGCGAAAATATCAAAATTTGCAATTGCATTTGCAGCAAAAATAAATTGTTAGCACTATTTTAAATGGAGAAGTAAAAAGCTGCCGAAAATAAGCTTCTAAGACATATAAGCTAGCGAAGGGATACGATATGTGACAGATTATAGCACCGATTTCTGCCAGCATCTATAAAAATCAAAAGATTACGAAAAGCTCCCAAGTTTACATGAATTAAGCAAGTCGTTCATTGTATATTGCTGTATGTAATTAAATGTCTGGTAGATAGCAATTATCTAATAGAAACCATCACGAAAAGTAATTGACAGGTTTAAAAATAGAATTTCATTTTGAAACTAAGTAGATTAGCTGTCAATACTTTCAACAACATTTGAGAACATTTTTTTTGAAAATTCGTTGCACAATTAAACTGAGTGAAAAAACAATCAGCTTTAAAATGCATTGATTTACATGAATTTGTGTATACTAAGTTTCAGGGTTATGGCGCTGCTGTTCCATTATCCTTTTGGCATTTCAGGCCAGGGTCGTTGTGTATTTTAATTTAACGGCAACAGCCATTGGGCGATAGGTAAATAAATGATGTGCCTTGCAATTTATTGCATTTGATTATCAGATTATTGGCGACACAGATTGAAGCTGGCTGCATCAACACCAACAACAGCAACAACAGCAACAACATGAATGTTGGTAAACGTGGCTTTTATTGCTGCCAGGGACAATGGCAACACGGACAACTGGTCAGCCGGACGGTCCGCTGGTGCTGCTGCGCCAAACGACAAACAATTGCGACGCGTAAAATTGCCACATCGCTGCAATATTTCCCAGCAGCGAAATGTAAATAACGCGCGCAGAGATTCACGCACCAAATCGCTGCCACTTGGCCGCGTTACGTGCAACAATTATCTGCTGGCCACTGCGACCGCAATCGATTCCAACCCTTGCCCCACGGCCAATCGCAGCGGCATCAGCAGCAGCCGGAATTGAGTAAACATGTTGCACGTCAAAGTGTTGGAAATGTTCGATGCGAAATTAATTAAAATATATATTTGTTGTTTTATCAATTTTCAACTAACTGACGACCGACTGACTGGCCAGGTAAGTCAGCAGATGCACTCACCTGCCGGCTGAATGTGATACCAACAGGGCTGGCTGTGGCCCATGGGGCTGTTGGCCACGCAGGAGATGGCGCCAAAGCTCTCATAGCTTTCCACATGATAACTGTAAACATTGTTCAAGGGGGGCGCTGCTGTAGTCGCAGGCGTGGCCAGCAACTGGCGATGGTGCTGCTGTTTATGCAGCGCCGCCAACCGCTTGCGCTCTGCCAGCTGCACACTGCTGGCCGCATTGCTGTGATGCGAAGCTGAATCGCCGCTGGGTTGGAGGAGCTGCTGCTGCTGTGTTTGCTGCTTGCGAGGGGGCTGTTTGTTTTCTACATGGTTTTTGTGCATCATGTTCGAGTAGACCATTTGCGTGTAGGGCTGCTCCACATAATCCGTATAGCTGTCGAGCTCTTGCTCCTCGTGCTCCAGCTCGTAGTCATCCTCGAAGTGTACGGCACCAGCAGCTGTCATGTCCACAATGCTAGCCACGCGTCCGTGGCGACCGTGCAGCAGACGTTGGGCGCCATGTGTGTGCTTCCGTTTGCTGCGCTGATAATATCCGCCGGATGGCACTTGCAGCGGCATTGGCAGCGTGGCGGGCACTAGCTGCGCCAGCATCGGCAACTCGATGAGACTCTCCAGCGAGTTGTTGAAGTGCCACTTGTAATTTAGATTATCGAGTGGATTGGCATCCACCTCACAGGTAATGTTGATTGTCTGCTTGAGTGCGGCGCGTATAATCGTCGAGTCTGACTTGCACACGGGCGGATCTGTGGGGCAGATGGAAAAGAAGAACAAGAGCAGGACAAGTGCCACGAGTGCAGGATGAAGACGAATGCTCAGGTCAAGTATTGGTCGCTTGTCGGTCACTTACATTTGACATCCAGGTAAACCTCGTTGCTAGACACGCTACCCTGCAGATTGGTAGCGCGGCAAAAGTATTGGCCATGTGACGACTTGGAGATACCCTGGAGTACCAGTGTTTGATTGGATATGATTACGCCACGTGATGAGTGCAGTTGCTTATCCTACATAAGTTGTATAATATTTAAATTACAATGCTAGGTTTAATAAAAGTTGTGTTTATTTAAAGAATGCCACATACATTGTGATACCATTCGACGCGGGTAATCGCAGGATTAGCACGCACATCGCACTCCAGATAGACATCGGAACCCTTGAGCAGGTTATTGGGATCGAGTGGCGCGCCCAAATTCAGATTAACAATGGGTGCATCTGCAAGGAATTGTGAAGTGCTACAGTTCGTATTCGCTTTAGAGTTAATGTCAACCTACGCGTCACATTGAGCACACGGGAATCCTTCAGGTAGAGGCCCATGTTCCCATTTCCCATTGTTGTCATTACCGTGGTATCACCTTCGTGCAGTTGCTGAGATGTTATGCCAGAGTTGAGAGCAATGGAGCATACCACTTGACGCTCATTGTCCTCCGGCACGGGTATGAGCATCAGCTCAGATATGGTCGTATTGCCATCGGAGGCAGTCTGTGCATTGAAGTAAAGTTGTTTGATTGATGGCGTGCCTGATTAGTGCTAGTCTCTGACTTACCGACTGTGAAGCACCCTTCAGTATCTGACCAGCCTTGGACCATATGATGTGTGGCGGCGGACGAGCACCGACTGCCGTGCAGGTTACATGGGTGCGTGTGCCGGCGACTACAGCGTGGTTGAGTCCCTGAAGCAGCAAACTCAGTGGAGGTACTGAGTAAAAAGCGAGGGAAGAAATGTGTATATTAAGTCAAATTAAGTAAATGATTAAAAACAAGTAAGAGGTTCTAGTCGGGAGCTCCCGACTAGGGGATTCTATTCTATTTTGGAAGCTATATGTCAAGTTTGTTGACTCAAGCTCTTATTATTCACCAAAATTACCCAAAAAACGGGATATCGATATCGATTTTTATCGATTGCTTGGAAACGGAGGAAGTTATCGATTATCGGAAACAAACTCGCTCTGCGCGGGACCTAGGAGCATCTACATCTAAAATTTCAAGTCTCTACCTCTTATAGGTTCTGAGATCCTTGCGTTCATACATACGGATGGACGGACGGACAGACAGACGGACATAGCTAGATCGACTCGGCTATTGATGCTGATCAAGAATAAATATACTTTATGGGGTCGGAGAAGCTTCCTTCTGCCTGTTACATACATTTGGCTTCCGCACAAATACAATATACCCTTGTACCCATTTTAATGGGTTCAGGGTATAATTATTAAGAATAATTGTTTCAAATCATATTAAAAAAACTATTCCTAAAACATTGAATTTCTAAAAATTCTATCTCAAATTACGAAAAGGATTGAAATTAGAAATGGAAGCTAAAATGTAGAATATATTCGGGCTTTATGTCATTCACTGAATTACAATTTTTGGAAGCATTTTCCCAGTCACATTGCCTTTATGGAATAAAAGGTAATTTAATTATGCCTAATACGCTGTTGTCTATGTACTCGATACCATTTTACCACTAACATACTATAACGATATACAAGCTTATTATTATTGTACTGCCCGCACCTATGGGATTCACATTGCGAATAGCATATTCACATAGTAGCCCAGCCCACCATTTTACTAGGTTTGATGCTATAAATGCATAAACATCGGACTATACGCGCATTAGAGCCAACCACAATGACAAAAACTTTAATTACATTAATTTTCATGAAATAGCCTTCAGTGGTGCACTGTGCGCAACCTCAAACAACCCCACTGCCTGTGCGGCCTTGAACTGTTGACATTCGGCAAGCGCCCACGTCGAACCATAAACATTTCGAAAACTGACAAACAGAAGCGGGAAATTTTTAGCATATATTATTTGAATAAAACTGTAATATGAAACGAGACATGCTTATTAAAGATGATTGCTTCAACTTACGGTTCATGTCCAGGATAACTTTTTTGGTCAGCGCCGGGACGACATGGCCATTGCTGGCCTGGCAGGTGTACATCTACATGGTGGAAAGAAAGTAAAATAAATAAATTGATTTATGCATAATACGATAATTGGCCTACTATGAATACAATATACTATAATATGCGATAAAATATTGGCGATAATGGGAGAACGTCTGAAAGATGATAAATTAACCTGACCAAGAGGTGAACATTTAATTTTAATTGCTTGAAATGCTTCACGAGCACGCACACAGCTCCACCGAAACAACGCCCCCCACCCACCACTCAGAAAATGTTAATCAATTATGTTACGTTCCGTCGTAGTCAAACGGCAGCTCAAAGGCTCGCTCTGTTGTATTAATATCATAAATTTTGTAGCTGAATTGTTGTAGTTGTTGTTTTGTTGGTAATGCGATACTTTCTGGTCATATATACGTTTCCAATTCGGACATTTTATTGAGGCACGAAAATTGTAACGATGTCTAATAAAAATATTTGCATAACTCGGGGAAAATTAAAACAGCCTCGTTTCGTTATGTTTCTTGTTCGCTTGCTTGCTGCTGCGCAGTCTGTCAAAGTGTCGTTTTTGGCTAGGAAATTAGGTCATAAATTTCTTTGTGTTATACAATATTTCTGTCGCATCGACCGCTCACCAGGTGGGGTCGCAGTAGGTCATCGTTTTCCCGATGTGTTTATTGCTAATGTACAATGTATTTTCGTATTGTTTGTTTTTCGTTTAACGGTGTTGCTATTCATGTGTTATATCTCTAAACTATGTCGCTTTTAAACACCAATTGACTTTGGCTTTTGTTGAGGTGTTAATGATGTTTGGCTTGGGTTTGGGGTATGTAGTTGTGCACGGTGATTTTCATGCCAGAGAAAATATGTTGCTAAATAGATAATGATTTTAATTGCCTTTTCCCTTTGAAGTATTTCTTTACTAACTTTTCGAGCAGCTAGTATTTTAAAACGTATTTAAGGATATTAGAGAACATGAACTTTCGTCGCCCGGGTTAAAATCAATACACCAACTTAAGACAGTTTCAAACAGCTAACAATTCATTAATTGGAACTTGTTTTTGCTTTTTTCTTGATGAATCATAACAAATTCAATAAACAAATTTTTAACTGAAAATGGCTGCTAGATTTGACCCGGTGATTTCTCGCTTGTGAGTGCGACGCTCAGACACCAAAATAGCTTATGGTCACGTGTCTCAGACCCAGGAGCTTAGTTCTTATTTCTCTCCGGCCGAGGTATATACATATTTGTCATAGGCTTGCAAGCCAGCTGGAAATTATTCAAGAACTATCTTTGTTGTGGACTCATAATTCTGGGATTTACACCGCACAAGTTTCAAGTGATTTCTAGACCAGCATTAATTCGGTTCGGTTCACAATGCTCACCGAGCACAAAGACTACCCATTCACAATAGCAGACAATTTGTACAAGTGGGCCGCCCGAGATAGGTAGGCTGGAGAGAGGCAGAGGTACTGTTGTGTACGAGCGCTGAATCGCTGGATTAGTGGTCTAACAATATTGTTCATTACACCAAGCAAAGTTAAATCGGCTTAGAATCAACTGCCAACTGGCAACCGGCAACTGGCAGTCGACAGCCTCGGACTGAACAATTCCCAATGCAGTCGCGGCTGCATTCATTTCCCAGGCGCTTTGATTTCTATTAGCCATTGTGCGGACGCAGATGGGAATAGGGATGGGGCTGGGGACTTGGCCACACCGAGCGCTGTCATTAATGGTGCGCTGCTTTTGTGGCTAACCGAAATAAATGGGCAGCATTGGCTATTGTGCATGGGTTCTAGAAGCGGCCGTCGAAGCGAGCGTCTTTGTTTACTTGGCTCATAAATAAGGCTTAAGAATTTTCGGATGTCATTTGGCCACTTACCGTTAGCAGATCCTTGCGCTGAATGTTCTTCAGGTGCAGTGTGTTGCGCACCGAACCGTCGGGCAGCACCTGAAGCGAGTCATCGACGAGGGCATGTTCGCGCCACCAGGAAACTCGAGGTGGTGGTACCCCACCGCTGGATAGGCAAGTCAAATTGATGCTATCTCCCTCCAGATAGGGGCCAGCGGTCTGGTCGCGCACTGCTGCTCCATGGTGGTCCAATATGGTCAACTGCGTGGGTGGCACTGCAAATGAAAATGTAAAATAAATATAATCAAATAGTCAACTAGAGTCTAAGGACTTCCACTCACCCAGGACTGTCACATTAATGCGCCAATTGCGAGTTGGTGATTTATGGAAATCAACACGACATTTGTAGAGCCCAGCATCTGTGGTCTGAATGTTCTTGATGCGTAAAGCCGGCGGATTTGTGTCATAGTAGAAGTGAGCCTTCTTGTTGAAGACGTTCTCATCGGCCCAGGGTATTGCCTGATGCAGCGGTCGACCCCTGGCATCAAAACTGATAGGGTAGGCGGCAAAACAAAAGTGAAATATTCAATTATATTATCGTAAAATTAGCATATTTCAAATGTCACTAAAGGGATTTTGAATTGTAATTGAATTTAGCAAGTGGATTTTATATACTTATATAAATGATTTTATATAAAATCTTGTACATTTTGAATGTACAAGAAATACTGGGAACAAAATGTTGCATAAATATTTAAGAAATGTAGAAAAATTGTGTTAAATTGAGTATAGCGTCTAATGATGTTGTCTCTCAATCAAATCCCAATCATGTCTGGTGCCAGTGACCACGTAAATGTCTTTACGAATATCTATAAAAATCACAAAGTCTCTGCGATGGCACACCCTAGAGATTAGTGCACATGCCAGACATTCACCTGGGTACCGTTTTATGGTCATCAATCGATTTTATTTGGCAGCAATTAAGAGAGGAAAACTAAAATGCATATATACAGAAAAATGTGTGTCAAATCAGAAATTAAATGGAAATAAAAATTGCTGAAAATGCAACAAAATCGACTCGTAATCGCCGTAAAAATAGAATGTCTCATTAACTTTCCCCAGCAATCAGAACAGCAGTCCAATCAGAACCAACTGCAAACAATGAAAATTGAAAACAGAAAAATATAGAAACGGCCAAGCAGTTTTTATTGTTATTGCCAAACGTTTTTTGTTTATAGGTGTTCCTCTGCATTTTGACAAAATGCCCCATTAAATGTCAACGCCCCAAAGCTACAGCCAGCAAACAGAAGCAACAACAAATCGTAAATAATCCAAAGTGCATTCGGATCTTTCGATTTTTGTTTTTTTAGTTTTTGGGGTTTTTTATTTAGTTCTTGGGGGCATTCATTTTTTTTAAACATTTTAAATGGTTATATTTAAATAGTTTTCTGGTTTTCCATCTCACTCTGTGCCTTTTTACATCTCTCTCTTTTACCTAATTTTTTCACTTTTTCCCCAGGCACATTAGTTTGGCTTTTTATGTGTGTGGCACTTAATTTGATGACACTTGTACATTTTTAATTTGCTTTGTGTTTTTTGTCCCCGAATTTGCGTTGCCCTTTTTGTGTGTTCGCCCCCTAAGACCCGCCCATTGCTGTTGTTGCAGGTTTCTCCTCTTAATGCGGGCAAACAAAATAAATTTGGCTGTTTATGTTAATGCATTGGCCAGCCCTGTGTGTTTTTTTTCTTAATTTTTTCATTTTATAGTTTGCTTCAATTAATTAATTGATCAATTTAGCGCTTGCTTTTTATGAGTGCATTTTTTAAGCCGCTTCCATTTGAATTTTAGTTTTTTGTATTCCACTTTATTTGCCTATAGCTGCATTTAATTTTGCGTTCCCAGTGCCAACATTTAAGCAGCTTTTAATAGGGAAACGCACTGGCATTAAAATACATTTTACTGTTGGCTCTTATCATAAAAAACAGAAGCATCCATTTACATTTTTTTCTGGAAAGATAAAATGCAAAATATTTACTTTTGCGTGGATATATTATTTAGTATGTGATATTCTGGAGTCTCTGCAATTAATGCGCTTGTGGAAATTGTGGATAAAAACGTTTTCATAAACGGAATAAATGTATTTTATACTAATGAAAGTAAAGATATATTTAAAAAATTGTTTTTGGTGTGTTTACATACCCTATAATTTATATTACTAAATAGCTTATAAATTTGGTGCCGAATGCGTTTATTTTGTTTATCAATCCTGCCTTTTAAAAATATTCAATTTCTATTATATCTTGTGTTCTATCTAAGCCTCATAGAGGTCAGTCGCTGGGCTGTCCAGCCACGCTTTACCCTATTCTCATGGCACATTATTTATGATCGCCTGTTATCAAAGCATTCCCCTAGATTATCGCACATCTTGAATATATCAAAAGCTTATGCATATCAGCTACGTTCGCAGCCCTCATGTCGCTGTTGATTTATCACTAGAAAAATTCAAATGCACCCATAAGTAACCCAGACTCCCAAAAGAAAAAAAAAATTGAAAAAATATCCAAAGCGACTGCAATGTGTAGCAAAAACAATAACAGGAGTACGAGTAAGTGCCGCATGATGGATGGTTATTTGTTAATGGATTTTAAGATAATTAAATTAGGTTCAACAGCCAAAAATGTGAGCTGCCCTCCTTCACCCACAACAGTCGGACTCGATGTATTGCCACCATGCCTAATTCATAAGTACATGCGCCCTGGGCAGCCAAAGGTCATTGATTGGGGCTAGGGCCTTCAGACAGTTGTACCTGGGTGCCCTGCAATTGGGCAACAAACTTCTCATGTAATTAATCTTCCGACCTTCTTGGCATATGGAAATTTCATTCTGCTTTCATGCTGTAAAAGCTCTAGAACAACAGTCCCAACGAAAATTTATGAAGTGTAGAAAAAGCAAATTAAAATTGATGGAAAACAATAAAACGAATGCGGGCACGAGAGAAAAACGCTTTATTTGGTAGCACTCCAGATCTTTTGTAGAGGCGCGAGGTGTGATGAGTGCATTTCGATGGGCAGAGCCGTAAAATTTATGTGGCCATAAAAGCGGCACTGGCAACTGTAACTGCAGTCACCGCAGCGAGTTTATACTGTAAAATCAATCGAACCACATGAATGCACATTTAACTTTGACACTTTGACTCGGGCATAATCGATTCTGGTTGCGAGTCTTTGAGATGCGAGGGAGGTTGGTGGCTGTGCCAAGGTTACCATTGTATTCAAAATCAATTTCTGGTCTAGTGCGCCTCAGTCCATCAGTTTTTACCCTCCTAAAGCGACGCCGTGTGCCTTTGAGCCCAAGGTAAAGCATTTTCTGCGACTTTCTGGTTGGTTAACATCACACGACATGTAGATAAACCTTTATATATATATATACGATATTCATATGTATTAGCCCATGCCACCCATCTTGTGCCCACCTGCCAACATTTGGCATACCGCGGTACATATTTCTGATTGCCTTGCTTGTTAAAAACCATTTGGCTTCAACCTTGCAGCTACATACACCTGCTCCTGTCCACCCACAAAACAACACGAAAACAACAAAATATCAGGCCAACAGATGCACGTACTTATGTGTACATGTCGTCTTTTATATACGAGTATGAATGTATGTTCGTAAGTAATGTTTATATCGTCAAATTCAACATAAATGCCCGACGTTAATAGAATTTATAATGAGCGCACCTAGTCGCGAGTGTCGCAGTCTTCAGCTTTTCATAATTGGCCCAGAGACCTGGGATCAAACCAAAACCGTTGACATACACTCGTTTGGGGTGAGTTCTTAAATATGCTGCCCTTTTTCCCATCGAAAATATCAAAATATATTTGGCAATTTTGTCAGTTAACTTTTTAGGGGGTGTTACTTAAAAGGCAACTTATTTGAGAGATTTGAACGCCTTATAATCAAATTATATTTAAGAGGCTTCTAGGCGTCTTAAAGTACTTGAGAAGATGGCAAACATTTTATATAATGGTAAAAAATCCCATAATTAACTGAGTTAATAACATGTGTGTAAAAAGCCAAGAATTCATAAATAAAAGCCCACGAGCGGGAAATGGATAAAAAAAATTATCTCTAAAATTTTTAGCATAATTTGTGCACTGGGCAAGGCCGGAAATATAGGATAGTATTATAGAAAAGACATACACATTATAACTGAAACTAATATTACTAAAACTATAATCATAGTACTTACGTGTAGATGGGTTTCACGTTTCCCTGACGATACCAAATGACCAATTGGACCTTATCAGCGATCATTGTACCGGGCATTAGATCGCATGGTAGCGCCACCTCCGAGCCCACGGCTGTGAGCACATCTGAAAGTGGACCTGAAAGGCAAGAATATAATTTGGGGATAAGCGTGGATATCAATTATAAATATTACACGAAATGAAATGCAAATGACGTATGTTATTCAATGGAAATAGTGACTTCTGGGTAATGTCAGCTAGTGTAATGACAGCTTTTTTTCGGGACTGCACTTAATTGAAATATATGTGACCTTTGACATTGTGCGTGAGGAGCTCTGCCGCTGGCAGCGCTTTGTGACAGTGGTGCGTGCGTATCTGTAACTTGCTTTGTATACTCTGCTATAACTATAAATTGACTGACAGCTTGATTTCCTTTTATGATAAGCTGGCGCTGAAAGGGTAAGCGAAGGGCGCACAGCACGGACTGGCCTGGCCGAGCGGGCCCATTGTGCGGATAGGGATTCAGATATGGAGTCGTCATCATCGTCATCATCTATGCATCTACTACGTGGCAGTGTCAATGCACAGCGAGTGCGTAGCCTCGGAGTGTCGTGTGGCGCCTCAAAACTCGCAGCTCGCGACGTGGTGTCGACATCGATGGCTTCTACGATGGCGACGCGCTGTGCGTGCCGCCCGCTGTGGAGCTCAATGAGCCGCTCGGCTGGCGGGCAATTAGTTGTGGCCCTCCTCCCAGGCGGTTCGGGGCAACTGGGTGTAGCTCAGGCCATTTGACAATTGAAGCGATATTGTTATTGTTGCTTTTCTTGTTGATTGGTATTTTGTATTATCAAAGCATTGTAATTATACAAATTATATTTCCCATATTTCCAAAGGCAATGGGCGTGTCGTACGTGCCTATATGTTATGTATGTCTGAAGCCCCACTCTTTCGCTTGCTCCACTATGCCAAGCTTATCAAAATTTTTAGTGCCTCGGCAATGTAAATAGTTATTTTTTTTTGTTATTGTTTGCTTTGCTGTTAAGCTTTTAAAAATATTAGTCAATATCTATTAAGTAGATTATGAAAATGTAGCTTTGCCGCCTTCTTCGTTACTGCAATTTAATTAATTTAATGCATTTTTATTTCTCTTAATTGGCGTTATATTCGTAATATAACTGTAAACTTTTCAGCCCCGCCCCATGCAAAAGTAAACCAACTAACAAACTTATATCCATGCCCGATTAATTTTTGTAATAAGCACCACACGCTTTGCATATGAAATGAATATGTCATGGGAGAAGCTACAGTGGGCGGGGCAGGGCGGAACGTTTGGAAGTGAATTATTATTAGCTAATGAATATTCGTGCATGGAATGGAATGTTGTGGCTTAAACTGTTGTGGTTTTAATAATATGATGAGTTTCGGCTGAGACATTTACTGAATAATGGCACAGTAAAAGCTCCTAAATTCAAGTGAAACAATTTAAGTTTAAAATGCTTTGGCAAAAAAAGGAAATGTATAAATAAAACCATGGCAATCTTTGAAGCCAATAGGCGAAGAGATTTGGAATTTTAGCCAAACTTTTTAGGGAAATCTAAGCATTGATGCAAGAGTGAGAGATATATTCTATTTCGGACTAACAACCCGTTGATCGCTGGCTTAAATCCCGCAGCAATTATTAATAGGTTTATTTACTTATGGAATTTGCTTTTAGTCACAAAAAAACGAATCACAACGAGTATGCATAGCATGGAAGGAATGTGACTGCCTATAATATCTGCAGGACGACGCCGGATTTCTTTTTAACTTGAAATAAACCCAAATTGGATTGAAATTTATTCTATATGCACTCATTTCCTATCCATCGATTTGTTTCGAGTTGATGAAACACAAACGGAACCATCGTCCGAGCCTACCATCTGCTTCACATTCATTCAAAGTTCCACTAACAAATTGCAGCAGAGAATCCGATTTGGGGCTTACTAGAACATGAGAAATGGGCATGGCCATTACTTATAGCCCTAGACGAATCGAGAAAGATGTGTCAAATCAGTGTAACAAATCGAAAGCCTCTACTCGTCCAAAAATATATATACATAAGTCCACTTAACCACCACGGGTTGGGGGCGCCAAATATATGACCGCAATTGTTATTGAACGAATGATTTAATTCATTGAGGGCAAATGCAATTTGTTTGTCTTCAGAATTAAAGCGAAATGAGGTCAACAGATCAAAGCGATACACTTGCTGCCGCATCTAAATGAGTTACGGATAAAGACGGGTCAGCCATCTGTATAAGTAGGGGCTAAGGCTCCAAGCAAAATGTTCAATTGTTAATTGAAGTCGAACAACAAATGTTCACACACTCTAAATAACATTCCGAAATCGAAATTGAAATCAAATTGAATCGAATGGGCATTCAAATGATCCGTTGCAAGCTTTTGCAACTGTCATTTGTCGGGTGGGTCATCCGATCAATTTGGCTTTGATACGTAGCGGAAATTAGGTGACGGGGAAGTCGTCCTTCTACCCAACAACCAAACGAGAAGATTTATTGTCACACGCTCTGAATTGGACGCATTGATTGAATGAATGAATGCATGAGTTTCAGCTAAAAGTGCGTTTCAATGTTGTGTCGCATCGTAATGGGTTGATCTCTGATCTGCTTTGATCTGCTCTAGTCCAGGCATAGGGCCTATTTTTATTAGTCAACAATATTTTGACAAATTTCTTGGTCTCCGCCTGCGCTTGTCCCATTGTCAAGTCCCACACCTCCCCACCACACCCGTCCCGCTGACGGACACTATGCTGCTAATGGCGCATGCAACAAATTTCTTGCATGATGTATTCTATAATTACGCAGCGACATGGATCTCAGTCTTTGCCCCAGTCTTTGGGGGCCGGAAAAGTTGCTCGGTCCGATGTTGTCGCCTCATAATTCTGCCACTTAATGTGGGCGTCAACATGATGCATCCAAGTTTTTCTCAATTCTCTTTGCCTCTCTCCTGGGCATTTACAGAGCTGCTTCATATAAAATATGAAGAACATGAGCAATAATAATATTGTATACAATTCAATATTAGGGCGAAGAACACTTTGATACTACTATGGGGTTCCAGTAACTCAGTTTATGAACTCCGAACATCAGTATGCATGTCAACTGCATATGATTCTTGGAATTTTGTAACAGAAATTTGTCGTAAATTAAGAGCGACGGGTTTTCAATGAGTTTATATTATAGAAGAACTCTGAAAGCTTTTCAATGTATTAAAGTTATCTGTCGTCTAACTTTTATATTGAATTTCCATACAAAATATGCTACTTCGCACCATCTATTTCCTTTTTTCATATATCAACCCATTTTCCAATAGACCCATTTTGATCTTTGGAGCACCGCTGCATCCAATTGCCTCAGATCATTTACACCGCTTGGCAAAACAATCAATGTTAAGTGCAGTCCAATTATACAGTCAATCAGTCATTCAGTCAATTTCTCCCCGTTGCTTCCGTAAAGGAGCATTTTATTTATTTATTTTGCCTGCAGCTTGAAATTGAAATGAAAATATTTTGACAATCAGCTGCATGTGGCGAGTAATGCTTAAAACTCCATATACAATTGGAAGTAATTATTTAGATCATTTGTTTCTTTACGCCCTCGGAGCCCCCATTGGCAATGGGAAATGAGAAAGCAGCAGAGGCGACTAGCCTTGAGAGCTTTTCGCCGCATTTATAAATAAGAAACAACAACTTGGCGCCTCTTGTAAAACAAACACCAGCAGAAGCAACGATCTAAACAGATCACCAAATAAATCAAATTGAATGTTTGTATTTTATAAAAAAAGGGAAAGGAAATAGATTGTGGCATAGGGACATGGAACTAGGTAAGAGCTTGTAATGGACTTTTTTTTTAGCCTAAAAGCTTGAGTGTATACTGAGATCTGTTGTGATATATGGCTAAGATATTGACAATTAATGAAAAAAAAAAACAAAAGCTGCTCTTTTCATTATGCTTAATGCGTTTTTAGCAACGTTTGTTTCTAAATTCATTCAAAATGCAAGCCTTTAATTTTTTAAACCGTTCTTTACATATCTTGCCCGTGAGATAAAAGAGAAATTATTTGTTTTTTGGGAAAACATATTAATAGTAACATGATTGAAATTCATTATTAGAATTAGAGAATTAACAGAAGCTATTACCCGGCATCGCATGGGTCAAATGAATATTGTTGGTACCAAAATTGTTTGTGTAAATACAAAACCGTAATTGGCACCAACTTCAGGCATCAAGTCCATTAAAATTATAAATAATAATAATATTAATACATTTAATAAGCAAGCAAAAAATTTAAAATTGGTTGCTAAATTTGAGCCAACGACCTCCAAGTTTCAAGTCCGACGCTCAAACACCTTAGCCAATTGAACTTTAGCCAAGATTTTATATTGTCTTTGAGCCACATGTCAGCACAATTCAGTAACATTGACTGTGGCTGGCGACAAATTGGCAATGACTCAAGAAAACGTCTCCATCCATTCAATAGGCGCCACTTGACAATGGTTGTGCAGTAAATGTGTCTTTGATTTTTCCTTTATTTCTGTATTTTCAAACAGCAACAACAACAGCAGCAACAGCAATGCTCACAACTCTGCACGTGACCATTGACAATTTGCGATACAAGTTGCTGGCCATTTATGACCCGCCCCGGTTCCGTCCTGGTCGCCCCCAACCTGTAGCCAACTGAGTGTATTTTTTTTGTATTTTATTTTGTTGCCGTTTATTTGACTCTGGGCCAAATGGCCTGGCCACCTATCCACCACCGCACACAGTCAAGAAGTTTACTCGTTGTCGTCCATTTGGGCTTTAATATTTCCTGCAGGCACATTTGTCGAGTTTTAGGGTCTGCCCCAACATGAAAGCGTTGGCGGAAGTTCAAATTGCTCTGACAGCCCATACACTTGTTATAGCTGACGAGCCCCGAGAGCTCCGGCGTAGTCATAATACGATTCCGATTGCTTATGGCCAAATGTCGTTCCAGTGACAATCTCACCTAAATTAACTCCAAAATTAGCCAAGTGCTTTGATTGCCAGCCATATTGGGCCTTTAAGAGATTTTCTGAATTTCCTAGAAATGCTTGGGCT